CGCCTACGATAGATAGCTATCTGCTCTGCTCCCTCCTGTACCCTCGATACACCTTATCCGATCACTGCCGTTTCTGTTCTGTCTTCGTTCGATCTTAGTGTTCCCGCCTCTCGGCGGGCTTCCACTTTTTTTGTTTTTGAGGGATCAGCTTGTACTCCGAGAGCAGAGATGAAGTGTCCTAAAAATTCAACTTCGGTGGCGAACAACTCGGTTTTTTTGGGAGAACAGAAAAGACTCGCCTCTCGCAGAGCTTCCAAGACGAGTTTGACGTTCTTGACGTGTTCAGCGACAGAGCTAGACCAGATAATAATGTCATCGAGATAAACGTGGCAGATTCTACCGATCAAATGTCGAAGGGCCGAAAACATCCTGCGCTGATGTGTTGCTGGGGTGTTGCGACCACCCTGAGGCATAACAGTCCACTCGTACAAACCGAGTGGAGTAGCAATAGCAGTGTATTTGATGTCATCGGGATGAACTCGAGTCTGGAAGAACGAGTTAGTCATGTCGATCTTGGCAAAAATCTTACCCTTTGCACAATCGCGAAGTATGTCATCCACACGAGGCAATGGGTGATTGTCGGGAATAGTGTTGTCGTTGAGTTTTCGGTAGTCGTTAACCCAACGTGGTTTAGCAGTAGGATCCTTTTTCGGAATAAGAAAACAGGGAGAAACGAAAGGACTGTCAGAAGGTCGAAGTCGTCCAGCGGCTAAGTGTTCTTCAAGGAGTTGACCCCAGACCTCGCGATACTTGCGAGGACACGAGTATGATCTCGACTGAATAGTGCGATCAGCATCCTTGAGACAAATTCTATGATAAACATTAGAAGGCAATGCATCGATAGAAGGGAGATCAACTGGGAATCTATCTTCGAAGCGTGATCCCTTATCTGTTCCCCATTTCTTTTGGCCTTGTCTTCTTGACGGCCCAAACGCTTCATCTTCTATTGAGGTTCAGGCCCTCATTGACCATGGATCTCATTTAGTTCTGATTAACTCAGACCTTGTCCACCGACTCGGACTTCGTCTTCGTCAACTTGACAAACCTATAGAAACTTCTTCTGTTTTTTCTTCCTCTACTTCGTCTTTCTCGCACTATGTGTATCTTTCTCCCTTATCCTCCGATTCTCGTTGGCGCTCAAGGCGTCTTAAAGCTGTAGTTGTAAAAGACCTTTCAGTTCCACTCCTCCTCGGAGGACCCTTTCTCTCTCACAACTCCCTTATTTTAGACCACGCTTCACCCTCGTGTATTGCGAAAGATTCCGGTTACGACCTTTTTGCGCCTCCAATTTCTCCAACAACTCCTCCTGTCGACACTGCAGAAAATTGTACAGAACCAGATTATGTCGAGCTGCAAGCCAATGTACTTTCTGAACTGTACGCTACTTCCAGGGCGTGACGCGCCGAACTCGAACGACACACGATTTCCGAGGTTGATCCTAGTAACGTTATATCATCTGTTCTTCGCAAAGTTCAATTTCTAGCTTCCGCTGATTTTAATAAAGAACACCTTCAGAAATTGGATCCCACCTTCTCCTGCTCCTCCACTATAAACTCTTGCTAAAAATCCGCTTAGACAACTCAAGACGAGTGCCAGTCCTGCCAAATAACCATGGCATCAGCCACCACACCGTCGCTTGACTTTGAAATGGGCTTTCTACCTCGACACCCTCACTCCCAGCGGACGGAGATTCCATCAGAATTTACATCCAGCCACTCATCAGACAACGTCCTCTCATACACATGATGGGTGCGATATCCGCTAAAACTCGCATACTGCTGCGCAACGCACGAATTCGTGTTATTCTCTAACCAACCTGTCAAAAGCATGTATATATGTCTTGCTCGACTCTGTTCCTTGTGAGGCACAGGCGTCAGTGGTACACATTTCTCTCGGCTTAACTCAAACTGCTTTTCCCGCGGTGCTCGTGAAGGACATAGGTCATTGCTGTGTACTTAGGATGGCTCAAGATAGCTCTGGCTATACAGTATGTGTAAACTAACATGATACTCCCCACACTCACTGGGCGTTCCAGGCAACGCGACTTCTGATGAAGGCCCGTGACCACATATAGTCTATCTGTTCACGCTTTGCACGCGTTGCCTCAACCCTCTCACGAGCTTACCAAATCTTCCGTCAACGGCCCGCGCTTAGACCGTAGGCTCGAGACGCGTGAATATTTCTGGTCGCAAACGAGTTCTCTCACATCGGCAATGTCACGATAGAGAACGTGGCACAGGGCACTAGCCCTTATCTGGACGTTGACTTCGTATGTGACCATCGGCCTACATCTGCACATCCATGTTGTGCCTCTGTGCTGAACATCGTCAGGTAACGTGGGAGACACCAGTGGGAGAGGATGGTCAAGGCATCGCCTCGATCCTTGTCCAGGATACGGACCCTAGCTTCGATTATCAGCCAGCTGAGGCATGGAGTACAAGCCCGTCAAACGTTACCCAGTATAAGGATGGAACGGGCCAGTGAGCAATGTTCAGATTTCTTCTCAGAATACATTTGAATGCCTTTCGTTAGCGTCACCTCCGCAGACAGCGCCTATGTGACGTTTACTTCATCAGGAAAATGACAAGCCGCTTTACCGGCATTATCCTGACTTTGCCGAGATGAACCTACTTTTTTGGTATTTTCGGCTCTCTATTAAAGAATATTTGGCTAAAAAACCACATCAGTGGCACTGAAGCTGCAAATCTCATTAAAAAGAGTAAGCTACAAGTCTTTCAGACCGATTTGGATCCTCAAATGTAGCAGAATTGTGGTTTCAAATTTTGGGAAAGTAGGTTCACTCTGGTAAAGACAGGAAAGTGAGGTTAATACACGTGTCAAAATCCTGATGTTCCACTGTAAGCTATGACCATCTAAGCGTTAGAATCATGTACTTACCCGTTGGCAGGGTGCGTGGAGACTTGTGTTCCTTGCGTAATTCCTTACGATTGTGAAAAAGGTGATGTTGTCAACCTCTACGGTTCTACCGGCCCTAGATGCGGAAACTACTTCGTTTCATTGGACGACTCCCCGGCAACCCAATACAATGCATCTAGATCGTTTGCAACGTATCAGAACGTCCTTTATCATGCCAATAACCTCGGGCCTGGGAAGCACACGATCAATGTGACGAATAGTGGTCAGGAATTGAACATTGACTACGCCGAAGTGATGGTCTTGACCGAGTGAGTCAGTCTATTCATCTGCCACCGCCTTGCTCACTAGCACTACCGATCAGTGGAACTTCAGCAAGCGATTGGCTCAACGCTATGTACGCAGCCGTGTCATTATTTGCTTTCCCAGCTCTTTCTTGAAAGCAGTTTCACGTAGCGCAAGTATATCCTCTTCATCCCCCTCGTCCAAGTACGCTCGTTTTATTTATGATGCCTGTTTTACTTACTTCACGACGTGTGATTAGAAACGTCTCCACCGGCGCAGCCGTGGGCCTAGCCGTGCTCGGCGTGGCCACCCTCTTCTTATCAGGCGCCCTGGTCTGGATGTGGCGCCAGCTGAAAATGTCTCGAAGCCAATACGTTGACCTCTATCGCAGCTATGCTCAGCGGCCTCCAGACAGCGTAAACTTCTCCTCTAGTATCATGACAAATACGACGAGTACGCCTGATCCTCACCGACGGAGCCGAGGGGCATCGTCAGACAAGCAGCTGCTTCGCCGTATACCCAGCGTTGGAGAAGGTTCAATAGAGCTGCAACCACAACGAGCGGATAACGGGATCAGAGTGAGTTCTTCACCATGCCATCATGCCGGCTCACCCAACCCATAATTATGTGTGTTTGTCTGATTAGCCCAATGTCGTGTACTACTCACCACAGCCAGAGAGACGTTCATCATATGCGCCAACTATATCCACTGCGCTTCCCGAATATAGAGCGTTTCGTACGCGCTAATGGTGTTCTTCACAGTACATAATCTCGTTATACGAAGATATTTATAATTGTATCCACGGTTGTAGTGAGTGCATTCGGGTATACAGTGCTATATGACCTCTATGCGCTTGAAGGCTAGTGAATCCAATCAGTCCGATACTATCCTTGAGGTCATCAAGATCATTCACCACATTAACTCCACGAGAAAGAGTTTAGGTGACTTCAGGTCGTGATTCGAAACTCCGCCTTTTCACACCAAGGTACCTTGCACATCGTCAGTTTGTGCACAACTTGCGAAAGTGAACTGTCACTCTAGAAAAAAATGTTCTTCTTCACCGCGTATACAGTATCTACCTAAATTTCACAGCCTTCTCCTAAGGCAACTGTAATTCGGCGCTACTCAAGGGTGTAATACCCTCTGTATCCGGTCCGAGTGCAATGAACGTTTGGTACCTGGTTCCTGGCTTGGTTTTCGGCAGCAGATGCAGATCCGTCTCAAACTAACATCACCTCGTTTCTCAGTCCTTTCATGCACAGGAACACTGTACGTAGGGTAGACTCGTTTACGTCCTCGAGCGTTTAAGTACCGGTCTACATGACCTCAAAGTCCAATCTCAAAACGTTCCAAAAAATGCTGTCCATTGTCTACCGACACTCAAGCTGCTTTATGCAAGCGTGACACTGGCATTTCTGAATTCCAGCAGAGGGAACGGTCCAGCCTTGGTTTAGTATAAATGTCAATGAGATATCCGCTAATGGATCATGAGGGTATGATCAACTTACCCCGATGAGACACAAGTGCGTCAAGGAGAACAAGCCAGGGCCGGGATTCAGGTAGTCGGGGATAGTGACCGTAAAATTCTGGTAGTACCCGGCCTGCCCATGCCCAGTAGGCGTGAACGGCCCAGAGTACAGGACGGAGCCGAGCTGTTGACTGGGGCTGGGGCACGAGGACGCGGAGCTGCAGCCGATCACGGCGAGGGCGATGCCAACTTCAGTGCAGCCCATGATCGAGTTCTATATTCCTCGCGCTGTGTTAGCCACAGATGATGCGAGGATGGTAGTGAGGGAACAAAATCGTACGGGTCTTTGAATCTCGACCGTGACACTCTTTCCACGGTGGAGGGTAGTCCCTGAGGTTGGGTACCCGATGTTGATGGTCTGCGCGAGAGCCGAGCTGGCGAAACCAGCAGCAACGACAAGGAAAGAAGGGAGCTTCATGGCTGGGAAAGAAAGGTGAAGTGGGGTGAAAAGTAGGGCAATGCGAAGGATGGGGAATGGGACTGGTGTTTTATACGATAGACCAACTTGGACGCCGTCAGGGCCTTCTATTCCTAGTCAAAAGAGGCACAGTTCATTGTACGAGATCCCCAGGAGAAATCAAGGAACCGGAGAGGTGTGCCCGCTTTATGTCAAATTATGCTGCAGTCGCGCTCAATTCATGTAGCCCCTATACGCACAAAAGCGGGGAACCGAGGCGATGATGACGTTGGCGTCAGTCTCTGAATAGACTGATCCAGTTACAAGGCACAGAAAAATGTCTGAAGTCGAGCTCGAGGCGGAGTCTGTTGAGGGTAAAGATGACCGTACCTCGAGACGTCTAAATATTGGACGCTTGGCTAGCCCTGGGAACATAGGCATAGGTCACGGTTATAGCAATCGCTAACATTGAAGGGTCAGGCCTCAGGAACGAAACACAGTCCAGGGATATGAAAATACTACGATGGCCTGGAAGTCGCTGAAGTGGGTCAAACTGGGTGCATGACCGTGACGCGTGACATAAAGCAATGCCAGCCATTATCCGAATCTCACGGACATGCCCCTCATTCTCACATCTCGGAACTTGCCCTTTGCCATGACTTACGAAAAACAAAAGTCAATCATGACAGGAAAACTAGATGCAGTATTGTGGAACAGTCCTTGTACGAAACTACTTCAACTAAATTTCCGAAAGTCCAAGGGTGCATAGAGAAATCCCAACGTCCTTTAATCCCCCATGCGTACTTAACTTATACAATCGTCACATCAACACTTCGAGACTCCATCAAAGGGTACGGTCCAGCCTGCAAAGTGTCTAAGAAGAAATCTGATCCGAATAGATGATCAGACGCACCCCGAGAAGACACGCATGTGTAAGAACGAAAAGACCAGGGCCGGTGGCCAAGAAATCTGTATCCGGGATCGTGACCGTGAAGTTCTGGTAGTACCCTCCCTGCTGATGCGCAGTAGGGTTGAACGGTCCCGTGTACAGCACAGAACCGAGAGGGCCTGCCTCTGGGTGGGGGCAAGACAACGCCGTCGCGCAGCTGGTGATGGTGAGGCCGATGCCAAGCTCGTAGCAGCCCATGGGCGCGAGCTAGATGTCGTGTCAGACTGTAGTCATCGGTGCACAGGGAGTTAATGCAGAATACATACCGGTCTCTGGACCTCGACTGTGAGCGTCTTTCCGCGCGTGATAGTAGTTCCAGTCGTGGGATACGCCAGTTCGATAGTCTCAGCAAGCGCTGAGCCAGCGATGAAAGCAACAGAAATCAAATCCGAGAAGAACTTCATGGTTTCAGCGTAGACTTGGAAAGGCAATGAGGAGACAAAGTGAATGCAGCAACACTACTGAAGTTCTAGTTATATATGTGCCGAGGTCAGAGTCACTGTGCTTGGCTCAAGCCACGCTCTGATAACACAGGGAAGATGAAGCAGGTGACATTGACAAAGTGCGGCAGAAAATGGCCGCTCTTACGGCAAGCTGATCCCATGCAGTGCGATGATCAAATGAATCTCCCCAGTCCATAGTGATCCTGTGCATGAAAAGACGGAGAAAATGAAATGATGCCAGCCTTTAACGGATCTACGTCTGCTGCCGAGAGCCAAGCCAGGAACCAGGTACCGAGCGTTTATTGCACTCAGAGCGGATGCAGATGGTATTATACCAGGCTACATATGTCGTGATTGGCGGCGACTCCGAGTTACAGACATCTAAGGGGAGTCCTTTGAACCCAAACTAGAGATTGTGTATGCGGTGAACGCAATCATTTTCCTGAAGTGACGATCCGCATTCATAAATCATGCACAACCCGATGACGGAAGGCTCACATGTGCGAAAGGACGGAATTCTGCTTTTCTGCCAAGTGAGACTTCATCACTTACATGATTGCTACCCAGAATGTTTTATCTGAGGCTTATGTATCTACCTATTTCAGCCATGGCTGCTCATGGCTGCTCATGGCTGCTCATATCAGGCAAAACATAATGGATAGCATTCAAGTTCTAGTGCCCGCGAGAGAACACAGAAGCTTCCAAGAATACGCCTGTCTGCATTTCAAGCTTTCACAGGGAAATCGCATGGTCTATGGTTTGGTCGTTTCCATCATGGGTACATCTATATATCCTCTCTGAACAAGGTTGTGCTACTGTGAAAGCATCATTGACGGGTACGGAATGAGCTATATTCTGGAAGTGCAGTAGACAACGTGGGCACGTATGATGAGCGTCTCTCTAGTTGGTGGGGAAAGTGCATGTCGCTTGGCTATTGAGAAAAACGAAATCGGTTTCGAGCTAGATAAAGCAGTGTGATAACGGGTCGAAAAGCTCACGTTGACTCTGCCATTTGCCCGTTGTGGTTGTAACTCCATTGCGCCGTCTTCGACACTAGGTACATGTTGAAGTGACTGCCCGTCTGCCGATACACCTCGGCTCCGTCGGTCAGGGTAATGCGTACTCGTTGTATTTGTTATGATCCCAGAGGCGACTGCCTCGTTTCCTAGTGATCGCTGAGCATAGTTGCAATAAAGGTCAACATATTGGTTTCGAGAAAATTTCAGTTGGCGCCACAACCAGAGCAGAGCGCATGTCAGGAAGATGGTGGCCGCGCCGAGTATGGCTAGACCTGCAATCGCGCCAGTCGAGATCCTAAATTCATGCCATGGTTTGAAACAAGCTCAAGCGAATAACATTGAAAAGTGCGCACTTTGACGAGGCCGGTGAAGAGGATGTGCCTGCGCTACAGGAAGTTACTGTTAAGATATATTTGTGAAAACAGAGCGTGACAGGTCTACATAGCATTGAGCCATTCGCTTGCTGAACTTCCACTGATCGTAGTGAGTAAAATGAGGGCAAATCAAGATGCCGACCCACTTTGTCAAGACCATCACTTCAGCGTAGTCGATATTCAACACCTGACCGACAGCGACATTATTTGTTACATTGATTTTGTGCGTACCAGGACCTAGGTTATTGGCATGGTAAATGACGTTTTGATAAGCTGAAAACGCTCTGGAAGCATTGTATTGCGACGCCGGGCCCTCGTCCAATGAAATAGAGTAGTTGCCGCATTCGGGGCCGGTAGAACCATAGAGGTTGACGACATCGCCTTTTGCACAATCATAAGACAATGGTCATGCAATGGACACAATCTCCACGCACCCTACTGGCCGTCAGGTGCATGATTACAAGGGTTGTATGATTGTAGCTTACAGTGAGAGTAAATGCCACATATGCGCCGTCTGTAGAGGTAATACTAACAAAAGCCATTCAAACATAGTTTGTAAGAAGACTTAGCCTCACTCACTGGCCCGTCCCATCCTTATACTGGGTAATGTTCGACGGATTTGTACTCCATGCATCAGCTGGCTGATAATCGAAGCTAGGGTCTGTATCCTGGACAAGGATCGAGGCGATTCCTTGATCATCCTCTCCCACTGGGGTTTCCCATGTTACCTGCAAGATGTTCAGCACAGCCGCGCAACGTGGATGCACAAGTGTGAGACGATGGACACATACGAAATCAACGTCTAGATAAGGGCTGTCGAGAGGCGCCAAGTTTGTGATCGTGACATTGTGCAACTCGCCTTGAGTTAGATTTGTTTGAGTGAGTAGTACCTGCTGCAACGTCACGGCAGCTGCATTTTCCGAGTTATTTTGATAAGTTTCCCCATCTACGCTGACTTGAAACAATCCATGGTCGCCTCGATTGCTACCATATATCGTGAAGCCCGTGCCTTTGAAGGTGAACGTCGCTGACTGGTTGTTAGGCCTGTTGCTCACGGTGTATGTGCCGAGGTAATAGCTACATTTTCGCATTGTCAGTGGTAGCTGGTATGTTAGCATATGTGGGGGGACTCACTAGCTTCCGTATACGTCGCCTGCAGATCCTCCATACCCCCAAATTCCGTTATATTGGATGAGAGGGGACTGGTCATCCAGGAGAGTCGTGACAATGGGCATTAGGTTGCAAGAGGCAGCCGGCTAGCTCTGGAGGGAAAGGGATGATCAGTTCGTCCATTCGCACTGGGCTTATCAGTCCGTCGCGTTTGATTCTAGAATGCGATGGTGGACCTTACCGGCATCAACTGTCAAACATAGGCGATGCGGAAACTGGACAACCGTACATAGTTGTGGCGGATACCTGCGTACTGAAACTGAAGGCAGTACTTCAAGCGGTCACCGCGACTCCATGATTGAATGAGGCGATGCTGTTACCAATCAGTAATCCAGTGAAGCCTAACAGACATTGTCGTAATTGGGAGCCTTGAGCATCATCCAGAAAGCGGTTCAAGTGTTACAGCCAAATAACGTGTGAAGAGGTACACCTGAAATTCGGCGACAAACAGTGAGATGTTGCCGAGGGATGTGCTTGAGAGTACCTTCAAAGCGAAGAAAACACACTACAGACCAAGCTACAGACAAACGTGAGAATTTAGGCCCTGAAAATAAGCAAGAACAGTCGCCGTGCACAAGTAGCGGATACAGTCGGGACCAGTGGGCGATTACAAATAACCTGCGGTTGCTGGGGTTGAATAAATAAAGACTGCCGCAACCACGATTGATGCTTTTGCTTACCGCTCCACCCGGAGCGACGTTCCTGCTCACCCACACAGACCTCACCGGAGACACACAAAATCATTACATGCTCATATATCCGCTACGCTACAACAATCAGATGACATCCAAAAACAACAATAGTCAAAAATCGTATGAAATCGAGTCGTCAGATCAAAAACATAGATGGCGCAACCACAAGACACACACAACCCCAAGATCCAAGACGCGCAGGCAGGCAGAGTCGCAAGACCCTACGACCCACTCGCCGCCCGCGACCCCGCGACCGAGCCAAACGACGACGGCGTCGTCGTCGCCCAATGCATCTCGCTGCTCAGCGGCGCAAGCCCCAGCTTTGGATTGGGCGGCGGCTCTCCACGCATCGCGCCACTCTGGCTCTGCGCCCCTACGCCTGTTCCTCCTGCCCCTGCCCCTGCCCCTGCCCCCGCCCCCGCCGCTATCGCACCCCCACTCCCATTCCCACTGGCCGGACCCCCAGACACGTACCCAACGCCATACGAACCCGCCCCATTCCCAAACCCACCCGAAGAAGAATGACCTGCCGCTGCTGTTGTTGCTGCAGCGGCGGCAGCAGCAGCACCCGCACCCGGCCCGCCCACCGCCGTCTGATACTGCGACAAATCCGGCTTCGAGTCAAACACGCCCAGCTTCCTCAGCCAGCGCTGCCGGACCTGGTGGTACCCCCGCGAGGGCAGCGCCTTCTGGACGAGGTCCCATTTTTGCCCGTATTTGGCTACCGCCTGGGAGAAGAACCGCGTTCGCGTTAGCATTCGCGTAAATAATAACGATAGCATGTACGAGGCGCTGCGAGAGGCAAGGATAAAACGAGCGAACGGCCGAAACGCACCTGCGCGAGCAAATCGTCCTCCTCCTTCGTCCACTTCACATACGGACTGCGCGGGCGCTTGCCGGGCACGCCCGCGGCCATCTGGTCTGCGGCGGAGGCCGACGCCGAGGCAGTAGCAGCGACGGCGGCGAGTTTCTTGTTCTTCGCTGCTGCCTGTGGTGGTGCTGCCCCTGCTGCCGAAGGCGGAGGCGGAGGCGCATACGGGGATACAGATGTGGTTTGTGTGAGTATTGGACTTGAGTGTGGATTTAGGTGTGGGCTTGGGTCTGGATTGGGGTCGGTAGGTGGGGAAGGTGTCGGTGCTGCGATGGACGATGGGTTGGCTGCGCCAGCTGAAGGAGCTGCCGCTGGCGCCGTTGAAGGTGGTATGTGCGAAGGTGCAGACGTAGATGGGACTGGAGGGCTAGACTGACCGAAGTCGTTGAGACGACCAGAAGACATAGACGACGAAGCGGTCGGTGTTGAACTTGACTGCGTCGCGTCGCCTGTCGAAGATGACGAGGTAGCATTCGAACTTGCGCTTGGCCGGGTTTGTGCGCTCGGCGAAGCTGACGTGGATGCTGCCGACGCTGTTGCAGGCGGATCGTCCACATCCATCCTCGCATCCATCTCTGTAACAGCGGCGGGACCAGACCCACCCGCCTCGCTCACGCCCCCTTCTGCACTTCCCTGATCCCCAGGCACTACTTCAGCTGAAGGACTTCCCCGCGCCGCCGATCCAGATCCCGATCCCTCTCGACTCCGATTCCCTCCTCTCGGCTTCGACTTCGACTTCGAGCTTGAGCGCGACGCAACCGTAGGCGTCCGATCCGGATCCACTCCTTCATCATCATCCGCCTCGTCCGTCCCCGTCTCCTCCTCCTCATCACCAACGACCACAGCCTTCCCTTTATCTTTCCCTTTGCCCCTCCCTTTCGCCTTCTCCCTATCCTTCTCCTTCTCCTTACCAGCCTTCCCCCTCTCCTCCCCCGCCCTCCCCTTCCCCTTCGTCGCACTCGTCGACGCCCTCCTCCTCGTAGCCACCCCCGCACCCGACGCAGGCGTAGACGTCGTCGACGACGACTGCGCAGCCGCCGCCTGGTCCGCGAGCACATCCAGCGCACTGCGCACCCGACTGACGCGCGCATTACCCGCCTCCGCCTTCGCGTCCGCCCTCTTGCCCGCCTTCGCGTTCGAGCTCGAGATGCGCCGCCGTTTCGCGGGTGGAACGGGGCTGCTCTCCGGCTCGTGCCGCGCTGCCGCCTTCCTGCCCATGCCTATGCCTGACAGAGGGCCGCCGCCTCTCCCACTGGCTGCAGAAGCAGGCGCGCGCCGCCGGGCACCCGGCGTCGGACTCGCTCTCCTATCGTCCTCATCTTCGTCGTCCTCGTCATCCTCGTCCTCGCCCACATCATAATCCTCGTCCAAATCCCGACTCATCATCGACCTCGCAGCGCTCAACAGCGAATCCAGCGGCGTATGCGACCCCGCCGCTGCTCCTGCTCCTGCCGCCGATCCAGAGACAGACGCCTGCGAGCGCTTCGCCGGAGAAGACCTGAGACCCGCACCCGCACCCGCCGCAGACGTACTCGCCGTCGCCGCCTCAGTAGCCCCAGAAGGCCGCACCGACGACCCAGGCGCCGACGCAGCAGTGCTCGATCCCGGCGTAGCGAGCATCGCATATGCAGGGACGAGCATCGCAGGCGAGTAATACGGCGCGTACCCGACGTGGCCCGGTGCTCCGACAGCAGCAACAGCAGCAGCGTTCCGCGCGGGCGTCTTGGGCGTCTTTGGGCGCGAGAAAGGCGACGTTGGGCCTGTACCAGGGACCGCGCGGCGCTCCTTGTCCTTGTCCTTGTCGCGCGTACGGCTCTTCTCCCGGTCCCTCGTGAGACCCGCCAGAGCCGCGGCGCGCTGCTTGCCCATCCTGCGTGCGGCGAGGATGAGGTGTTCCGTGCGCGCGTCGGCGGTCAGCGGGCGGGCGATGTTGCGTGAAGGGAGCAATGCAGCGGCGGAGCCAGAGCCGGGGACGAAGTGTGCGTGGCCTGGCGGTATGCGTCGTTTGCTTGGGGACGGAAGTTCGGAGGTAACAGCGTTCGATGATGACTCGGCGGTGGACGGAACTGATGCGGGTACGGCGGTGGAGGCCGTGGCTACCGGCCGTGGCGTCACAGGTGCAGCCGCCGGTGCTGGCGAGCTCGGGCGCTCTTCGACGTCGATGTCCATCTGCGTCCGCTGGGTGTCATCGTCTGCCGAGGGAGGGTGCTCGTCGTCGGTGTTTACAACGCCGTCTTTTCGTCGGAAGCGGGCGGGCTTGCTCAGTTGTTGCCGCGGTGGCGCATGTTGCGGAGTGCGTTGGTAGTAGTGTTGTGAGCTAGGCGTCTGACGAACGTGCTGGGGGGTGTAGTGTGATGAGTGAGGCTGCGCAGATGAGGGAGGGCGGGGTGCGTGGGTGTGCATAACGAGCATGGGGCGGAGCTTTGAAAATTCTGCTTCGAGAGCTGCGAGACGAGCGTGGGCATCTGCGAGCTACAAGTCGGAGCGTGGACGCCATGTGAGAATGATGACATCGGCGGAAATACCAGACAGTTACTGAGTTAGTTCGCTGTTGAGATCTATGTTACGTGGTAAACGTACCTTCTGTCGGAGGGACTTGTTCTCTGCCTCGGCCATGATGACCTGGTGAGGAACCTCCTAGAGGTGAACTAGTCGGCACAAGAACCGTTAGGAGAGTGGGAACACTCACCTCGTCCTTGTCCATGTTCCGGGTCTTCTGAGCAATAAGCGCCTCGGCCATGCGTGCCCATCCCTCCCTCTCAGCGTCCCATCTTAGCCGCTGCTCCTCAGCCTGACGAATGAGCATATCCCGCTGGTCCGACAACGATGTGATAACGTCCGCCTGTGCTACGAGCTGTGCAGCAGCCGGCCCAGGAGCGGAAGTCAACTTGAGAACCTGTCGGTCCGAACCAAAACACCGGAGTTAGGGGAGGTTTACAGCTCAGAAGCCATATGCGCACCATCTCGAGCAGCTCCTTCTCCCTGTCTGACCTGTCCTCTGGCCCGTATGTATCAAGGGCGGCAAGGGCAGTAGCGCGTGCACGGAATTGTTGTATTTCGTCCTCGTCGAGAGGATCTTGGTCGTCATAGGGTGCAGGGGAGGGAGACATGATATGGACGATATCCGAGAGAGCAAGAGGGGGAGCTTCCCCGCTCTGAGTCATCTTGTCGCCCTTGAGGGTTGAATAGAGGTCGTCGACGCCGTCCGGGACGACGAGGAGAGGGAGTGGATGGACGGGCCGGAGTGGGAAGCGGTGTGTGGTGTCGTGGTCGGGAGGGGGAGACGAAAATCAAAGAGCCAAACAAACAGATGACCAAACACTGCACACGCGCAGTCACGTGCATGCATATCTCGTCATGTGATTGGGGCGTGGGAGAATACAGTTTTACTGTCCTAGTCGATGCTGACGACGTCTACCGCGTACACCTGGGAGTCGTTAGCAGAGACACGGCGAGTGATGGCTATCCACTCACATCAGCCTCCATCATAGCGTGCTTGGTCTGCTCGTACACCTACTCCTTAGGCAGAGATGGAGAAGAGGCGTTCTTTGCGTTCGCGTCATCAACGCTTCGAGAAAAGGTCTGGGAAGCAAGTGAGTGCGTGGGTCTTTCGTCCAGCTGAACGACGAGCAGCAGTGTGATGGTGTCGCAGGAAGACAAGGGCCATCCCCGGTCTCAGTACGCACCGGCTAACTCCGACCCGAGAACAAAGAGACCCCCTGACGACCTTGTCCTTCCTCCCACTCCTTCTCGCGTCTGTCATCCCGTTGCTGCGCCGCACAATCCGCCATGGCCCAACAAGCACTCATAGGACCCATAGCGATAGATATGGACCCATATTGAATACATTTACGTACTCGCTCGGTGAGAACAAGGTGCGTTTCATCATCTCAAACAACAATAAGACGGGTTGATGAATCGACAGGCGTCTTCGTACAGCGTATATATGGCTGCTTCAAAGCTCGAGACGCCCTAACGCTTCGCCTCTCGCACTCCATCATGCCTACGCCAACGTCCACGTCGATACCAGCACCCATGTCAATGCCAACACCATCACCAACGCCATCGCCATCCCCGAGGCCATCTCCACGGCCAAATCCCATGGCGATTTCGAGCCTCATCACGGTACCCACACCTACACCTATGCCATCGCCTTCGTCTACGCATACTCTTGCACCTCCACCCATACGTTCACCAGTGCCTACACCTACACCCGCACCCGCGCGTATACCTGGACCTGGACCTACATGGTTACCTGCGCCCATGCTCACGCCTGCACCATCGTCGGCCTCATCCACGTCGGGATTTAGATTTGAATTCTCTCCTCCCCCGCCATCTGCGTCTTATCCATTCATGCCCGTGTCGACCTTTACGCCTACATCGTCATCCAAGCTCGCATCTACGTCCACACCCTCTTCTACGTCCTCACCCGCGTCGACATCCAAGCCCTCGTCGATCCCCGCGCCCAAGCCCGCGCACACACTCACACCCATGCCCGCCCCTACATCGTTGCCAACGTCCACACCTACGTCCACACCCACACTTACAATCACATCCGCGCCTACATCCACACCCACATCCACATTCATGCCCGTGTTAACATCTAATCCCGCGCCCATATTCATGCACATATTTACGTCCACACCCACGCCTACATCCACGCCCGCGCCTACGTCGATGCCAACACCCATATCCATGCCCGTACCTGTCCCTGCATCCCCCGCTCTGCCTATCCGCGCACCAACCCCCGACCCAGCGCCCACCCCTGCGTCCCATCCCCGCCCCTCTAGCCCGCAATACGGTTTCACGAACCCCACAGCCACAGCCACCACTGCGTCCCAACCTCGCCCCTCCAACCCACAACACGGTTTCAAAGTCGCCCCCACCGCCGACCCCGAACCCGACACCGCCTCCCCACCCACATACATCTCCGGCCCCATCTGCGCACAGTGCGGACAGCCAGCGCACGCGGCGCACTACGCAAACCAGCACACGGCGAACGACAACCCGCACGAGATACACGCGAAACCGGGGCAGAAACCGCACGTGTACGTCGGGCAGCCGACGCGGCTCTGCGACGAGAGCAATCCGCTTAATGCGAACGAGTACCTGTACGTTCCGTCTGTCTTCCCATCCTACCTCGGTCTATGAACGCTGACTCGCGTTTTGCGTTCGCCCGCCTGCGCTTATAGACCGCTCCCGGCCGGGTGGCTCAAGCTCACGCACCTCGGCGGCGCTGTGTATTTCTTCAACCCGCACACGCGCGTCGTCACGCCCGCGGATGTGCGCGAGGCGCTCGTCGAGCGGCGCGTGGCGGAGGAGTACACGCGGCTGTGCGCGGAGGTGGGCGATGCGAAGGTCGCGCGGGAGCTTAGGCGGGATTTGGTGATGGTGATTGAGCTGCCGGGTGTTGATGCCGGTGGGGGCGAGAAGGGGAAAGGGAAGGAGAAGGAGGTGGAGGTGGAGGCATATTATGTGTGCATCGACAGGATGGCGGTGTTCAAGCTCAAGGGCGATCAAGGTGAGCGTGCTGCGGTGTTTAGCTATAGCTGTGCCGGGATTCTGACGATGGTAGTCGAGTACGGATCTAAAGAGAGGCTGTGGGCGCACATCGAGCGATACCCGATGCACTGGCTCAACTTCCCCGTCGCGCTCGAGGTCGAGTTCCTCAACGCGCTCACGTTCGGCGCGAGCGGTGCGTCCCCCCTCTTCCTCTTTTTTTTGAACCCCACGAACTGACAACACCGCGCAGAACGCTTCCGCGACGCGCGCAATACGCCCTTTCCCTTCTCAGGCGAGACATGCGAGCGCCTCATGCGGATATACCAAGACTCCCGACGTACGTCCTCCCTCCCCTCCCCCCTCTCCAATCACCCTAACACCCCCACGCAGTCCGCCACGAAGAAGACGCACACACGCTCACGCCCCTCCTCATCTGGGAAATCGCGCGCGCAATGCGCATCGTCGAAGCCTCCCGCGGGCGCTACGGCTACGGCACGCCATCGAACCGGCTCTACCGCAACCTCGCCGCCCCGCCGCCCGCGTGGTGGGAGGGCGCGCTGCTCGGTGCGCCGCTGCTCGGTGCGCACCACATGTACAAGCGGCGGCTGCAGGAGAGCCGCGTCAAGGGAGAGGTGTACGCGCCTGTGTTCCAGCGCGCTGTACAGGGGTTTCTGGACGAGTGGGCAGACTCGAATCTGCTCGCGACGGTGTTTGCGGGTGCGAGCGTCGCGTTTTTGGCTGTGCCCGTGCGTTCCCCCCTTAAGCATGTATCTGATCGCTTTTGATGTTGACTGGTGGAGTGGGCAGAACGTCACCCCGCTGCAACAGACCGCCTCGCTCGCGTCGACCATCTTCGCAGTGACGTCCATCGTCACGGGCCTGCACCACGTCTGGCGGCACCGCCCCAAGACCTCCGCGGACCGAGCCGAAGCGGCGCGCTACCTCAACCGCGCAGGCGCAGCCACTCACGCGGCACACGACGCTGATCTGGCGGTCACAGCCGCGTTCCTCGCGGTGCCGCTCGCCGCGCTGCTGTGGAGCGTGCTCGCGTTCACAGTCGCCATCGCCGCTTTCTGCGTGCAGGGTCCGTCTGCCGGCTCCGACTCCAGCTCCGGCGGCGGCGGCGGCGGAAGTGGCGGGCTAGACCTCGGCGGCGGCCCCGGCGGCCCCGGCAAAATCGGCACAATCCTCCTCCTCGCGCTGCTCGGCGTCCTCACGCTCGGCGCGCTCCTCGTGCTCGCGTTCTTCGCACACGTATGGCGCGCGCCGCGCGACGAGGAGATCGAGGACGGGTTCGATCTCATCGCGGGGATGGCGTACCAGCACGATCACCGTGCGCCTGTGGGATGGCGGGACAGCACGCGGGACTGGGTGCTGCACGCGCCGGGGGCGCTGCGGAGGCGCTTGAGGAAGGTCAAGGGGGCAATGGAGCGTAGCGTGCTGCTGAGGTTGCACCGCCATCGGATGAGGAAGGCGAGAGCGCGAACGCTGGTACCTGAGATGGCGGTACCGCCGCCGCGGGAGGACGGGGCGGTGGCGCAGGCTGCTGGGATGGCGGCTGCTGCTGCGCATGCGCCGTTGAGTGGGACGCGGAGTGCGGTTCCGCCGCGCGGGACAGTGGCGGGGGCGATACAGTTGGCGAATATGACGGTGGCTGCGCCGTTGCGCTCGCATACGTTGTTGAAGAAATGAATTTATTCTTGTGATATACACACTGTAGTAGACATACACACCTTTGATAGGCTTTTAAATACAACTGTACTTATGATATCCTGAAGGACATTTGAGGCTAACACCGTGTTCGAGCCTCGTGCATCAAGTGTCCATGTAAATGTAGGGGCCGCCTCGGGATGAAGCAAGGCTTCGAGGAGCACGAAGCTGCAAATCTCAGTGGTATCGGCCCGATCTGTAGCTGATTTTTCGCACGTCAGCGACAGGCCCAGGCTTGTTCCCGACGACGATAACAGCGCAATGTGTCGGTCGACAGCAAGGGTGACGATTAGCTTACCGGTTAAAGTGGCCGAGGAAATGCACTACATGCAGATGCGCCTATTTTGAACCGCAGGAAACTCAACCGGAAAGTACATATTTCCGTGATATTTCCCTTTGAATAATATATAGATCTAGGCCGAAGAGATTTCGTGTTTCTATGTAATTTTCGGGGCGACGAAAAGTGGTTATCCTTCCGTTTACGCAAGGTATACGGCAACGGAGGTCAAATTTCTGCCTCAATCTGCCTTTCGGGCCTCTTGACACACCAGAAAATGGTAGATAACTTTCTACGAGACGTTCGCGTGGCGAAGTTGACGTCGGCTGTCCCTCTTTGACGTGACGGCGTCAGCGGAGTTCGAACTTTGGTCAGAGACGGTCTAGTTCGAGCCTAGTTCCTAGCCCGAAAATCTGTAGGAAGATGATTACTTTCCAGTTGAGTTCCAGCTACTTATTTTCGTGCCCAGAATGTGCGCATTTGCCTGTAGTGTCTCGATCATCAACGTCCGAATGAAGCACCGGCTTGTTTAGGCAGGGAGCTAATGTTCTTGATCCGCACAGGTATCCAAGGGAACACTCCAAAACAACGAGAGAATGTAGGCACATGCACTATCACAGATAAAGCGGAAACAATGGTAATTCTGCCGAATCCAGACGCGGTAAAGCCCTAACCTTTATTTTATGTATATAGAGCGTTAGCGAGCTTTTTGCGCACTCTTACCTTCTCTCACGGCCAACGCTCAGAGCCGCCCGTCGACTATGCCGACAATCACTACTTTTTTGGACGACCAGTCCCCCCTCATTGCATATTCTGGCCCGTGGACATCGGGGCCAGCGGCCGCGGCCACGTCCGACAGCTAGTAAGCCACACAAAACCTGTGAGATTCCTTGAAGAGTCGCGTTTGAACACGGCCTACTAGCTTCTATCTCGGGACTTTTTCGTGGAGTAACGCCCCTTCCCAAATCGCAACCTTCAACTTCAACGGGACAGGCCTAGGCGTCTACGGCGGCAAACTTAACACCCATGGGCTTTACTCAGTCATCGTGGATGGCCAGACTTACACCGGTAATGGGAACTCTTCCACGTACGAGTGGCAGACTTTGCTTTATAACCAAAGCGGTATGACGCAAGGGATGCATAGCGTGTCATTGGGGTCTGCAGTTACCGGCGCATTGTTTACCTTGGACTTTGTGCGTATCTAAATGAAATATCTGGCTGGATCTTCAGACTTGACGCAGAATTCCATGCGCCGACTAGGTAACCTGGCAAACTCAAGTGGGGCGCGATGACCAGAAGCTGGTGTATGTCAAAGTTCAAGACACCGATCCTAGCTTCGACTATCAAGGTGGAGGCGCATGGAGTGGAACACCTAACAATGCGTATATGTTCAACAGCGGGAGTGGACAGTGAGACCTCTGTCTCAGGACCTGTCCTCGTACTGACTGCTTTCAGTACAACGTCGATCGAAAATGCATCTGTGACTTTAACGTTTACCGTAAGTCTCGCAATAGTCGTACAGCGAGATTCATGACTTGTTGTTGACGCGCTCATTGACAGGGTGCGTTTGCTATATCGGCTTGAGATATCGCACCTACAACTCACAATACAGGCGACCTGATAAATCTCTATGGTGCCGTCGGAATCAACAACGGCCAGTATTCTGTTACCATGGATAGCGAAGCGCCTGTCACGTACAACGCTACGAGGCCCTGGAATCTTTATCAAATGATGATTTACCAGGCCAGTAACCTGGGCCCCGGAGAGCATCATCTGACGGTGACCAATCTTCCTAGCGGTGGGAGTCAGAACCTGGCCATCGATTATGCCGAAGTCATGGTCTTGATCGAGTAAGGAACAGATCTACTCAATGTCGCTTACATTCTAACTTTTACTCTATCAGCAGCGACTCCGATACCACTTGCTTTAGTGGAACGTAAGTCCGGGATCTTGGTCGCTTTAAACTCCCTAAAGGCATGATACTGACCTACCTACGCATAGTTCTGGCATTGACGCGCAGATACGCACATCATCAACGTGAGGCATCTCCTGTTTCAACTCTTCTGTAACTAAACGTTCGACATATTGATCTGCCCAGGCGTCCAAGCGCCGGAACTATAGCAGGTTTAGTCGTGCTCGGTGCAACTACAGCCCTAGCCCTTTCCACCGTGTTTTGGTTATGGCGTCGGTGGAGGCTATCAGAAGATCGATATACCAACCTTTACCGTAACTTTGCTCAGCGCGAACCTCGCGGAATAGCCTTTGCTTCAGGAGCAGTAGCATCTTTGGACACATGCGATCCAAACCTCCGTAATAGGTCTTCGGTCTCCGACGCAGCTGGTAATAATGTAAGGTTCATATCCTGCCAGCAGAACAGCCGCTAAACGTTATCCAACAGCCTTTCAGCTATGATACTGGTGCTTATAGCTCGGCACCGTTTTCTCATGGTGACGCTATGGCCGAAGCCCACGACATAGAGCTTCAGCAAAGACATTCCCCCGCCCCGACACACTATACGGGCTTACCGGAATACACACCAGAAGTATATTCTAGGGCGAATCAGATTTGAGTTCTTAGAGTCGTTTAGAAGAAGGTGAAGATGCTTGGGAATCTCAGGCTCGGGACCTTGCGTGACGTGTCCGATGCGTCGTTAGACTAGTACTCGTGTATATATGTCAGCGCTTATCACTCAACTACGGAATTCAGTATCAGGTGAGTAGACACGAATATATTGTTTTCGTTCTACGTTTAGTGTTGTGAGCTTGGTTGTCGGTGATCCTCTCTATGCAAGACAAGAGTATGCTATACAGAAAGCAGGCATGATCAGATCTTCAGACGTGATCGAAAAATGGATGGAAAACGCGACCCAGCGTACTCAGGTAAGGCCCCTGGGCCTGAGTCTCGAAGTCCACGTGGTATTCGCATGAACTCCTCCAGTGGCAAACCCCGAGCGCCTGAGTATTTGCCAGTGGCGGCGATGGCTGTCCTTGAAAATGAACAAGATCTGCCTCTCACATCATAGGTGTATTTTGTCGCGAACCAAATTTAAGGCGAACCGTGTGACGTTTGCATGATATCTCCATCGTATGGTCCGATTTTGAGGGACATAAAAGTTGGGTCGATAGCTCGACGCGTTCTCTACTAGGGTTTCCAAGTTAGTGCAACGAACTTTCATATTGGAGCCCTGCATATGCATACGGATGAGCGTGTAGTATAAATGTCCAGGCGCAGTCCGCGTCATAGTACAGTTGTCCCACGACCACTGATGCTCTTCTTTTCCTTTGCTCGTCGTGTTCATTCGCCTCGCAAAAACACCGTTCAGCATAGCTCACAACGCCCTTACAGTTACACCATGTCTGCCAAATGCGAACCGGCCAATTTTAGCGCGTCCCTCGCGGTGTTCAGCTGTTGCTTCGCTGGGGATTTTGCCAAGTCGCTGCTGATATTTGTCTGCTCATCAGCGGTCAGTACTTCAATGCTGATAACTGGTAATCACTAACTCATCTCCAACGGATCCGAACCTTGTCAGAACCTCCGATTATCGCAGGCGGTGGTCATCAAAAGACGATTTTTCGAATACCTTCACCTCTCTCCCAACAAGCATCCAAGCACTATATCTGATAAAGGCGAAGCAGCAGCGTCTCAAGCTCAAAGCAGTGCAGACCTGTTTAGGCAGGTATCTGATGTTCCTGAACAAGTTGATCTGTACAGGTTTCCAGTGGAGCCCTAGACAAGACAGCGAGAATGGCAGATGCGAGGCCTCGTGCACCTGTATCGCAATTGAGGTGCGGAAACAATTACTATAGCTTCCGTACAAGAGATCGCGCTCTGATATCGGGTCCGACGCCGGCAAGCCCATGACACGCCTGTGTATATAGAGTATCGGCGAGCTTTCATGCCCATGCTTCGCTCACCTTTGCCTTCTCTAACGACCAACGCTTCCGAGTCTCTCGTACTGTATGCCGACAATCACCACCTTTGTAGACGACCAGTCTCCTCTCATTACATATTCGGGCGCGTGGTCATCGGGCCCATCGACGGAACCTGCCCTCGCCGACTAGTAAGCCACACAGATATTGTGATATTTCTTGAAGTGACTGTACTGATCAGGGCCTACTAGCTACTACCTCGGGACTTACTCGTTTAGTAGCGATCCTTCCCAATATGCAACCTTCAGCTTCAACGGTACAGGTCTAGGCGTATACGGCGGAAAACGTAATAATCATGGGCTTTACTCGGTCGTTGTGGATGGAGAGACGTACATTGGTAATGGGAATACTTCCACGTACGAGTGGCAAACGGCGCTTTATAGTAACCAGAGTGGCATGGCGCAGGGGATGCATACCGCAACAATGGGTTCTGCAGTCAAAGGCTCTTTATTCGGCTTGGACTTTGTGCGTATCTATCTGCTACACTGGATTGTATCTTCAGACTTGACGCAGAGTTTTGCGTGCTTACTAGGTAACTTGGGAGACAGAAGTGGGAAATGATGACCAGAAGCTGGTCTCTGTTATGGTTCAAGACACTGATCCCAGCTTCGACTACCAAGATACCGGTGCATGGAGTGGAGCACCTGAGAATGGATACATGTTCAACAGAGGTACTGGACAGTGAGTCCTCTGTTTAAGAACCTTTCATCACTCTGATTGCTTCCAGTACAACATCCACCGAGAATGCCTCTGCGACTTTAACGTTTACCGTAAGTTTCGCAATAGTCGTGCGGCGATATTCATTGTTTATTAAAGACGCGCCCATTGAACTAGGGTGTGTTTCTTATATCATCTTTATAAGTTTGACCCACGACTCATGATATACGTAGGGGACGTGATAAACCTGTACGGTTCCGTCGGGACCAACAACGGCCAGTATTCCGTTGTCATGGATGGTGAAGCGCCTGTCACGTACATCGCTACGAGACCCTGGAATCTTTATCAGGTGATGATATACCATGCAAGTAACCTGGGCCCCGGAGAGCATCGCCTAACAGTGACCAACCTTCCTAACGGCGGGAGCCAGAACCTGGCCATCGATTATGCCGAAGTCATGGTCTTGATCGAGTAAGGAACAAATCTACTCAACGTCGCCTGAATTCTGACATTTCCTCTATAAGCAGCGACTCCGATACCACTTGCTTTAGTGGAACGTAAGTCCGAGATTGTGGTCGCTTTGAGCTCCAAGCTATGGACACGATGCTGACCTACCTATGCGTAGTTCTGGCATTGAAACGCAGATGCACACCTCATCAACGTGAGACATCTCCTTTTTCAACTCTTCTGTAACTAAACGTTCGACACATTGATCTGCCCAGGCGTCCAAGCGCCGGAACTATAGCAGGTTTGGTCGTGCTCGGCGCAACGACAGTCCTAGCCCTTTCCGCGCTATTTTGGTTATGGCGTCGGTGGAAGCTATCAGAAGACCGGTACACCAACCTGTACCGTAATTTTGCTCAACGCGAACCTCGTGGGATGCGCTTTGCTTCAGCAGCAACAACATCGTTGGACACAGGGGATCCTACCTTTCGTAACAGATCTTCAGTCTCGGACGCAGCACGGAGAGATTCTCCTGACGATAATGATGTAAGCATTATATCTTGCTAGCAGAGCGGCCGCTAAGCGTTACCCAACAGCCTTTCGGCTATGATACTGGCGCTGATAGCTCGACACCGTTTTACCATAGCGACGCTACGGGCGAAGCCCATGATATAGAGCTGCAGCGAAGACACTCCACCTCCACCGCACATTATACGGGCTTACCGGAATACACGTCGGATATATATGAGAGGGCGAATCAGACTTGATTTCAGAGAGTTGTCGAGAAGGTAGAGTTACTTGGGAATCTCATGGGTCAAGACTTTGCGTGTCGTTAGCCTAGTACAGTAGTCGTGTATGTCAGCACTCATCACTCAACTATGGAATTCAGTATCAGGTGAGTAGACACACTTACATTTGTTTGTTCTCCGTTTACCGCGTTGTGAGAGTTCCGCTCTATGCACGGCATGTCCATGCTGTACGGAAAGCAGGCGTGATTGGACGCGGTCGAAAAACGAATGGAAAGCGCGACAATGGGACCTTTCACCTTTTCTGGCAATACCCCTGAGTCTCGCTGGCTCACGTGTCATTCGCGTTGATGAACTCTTCTTGGCAAGCCCACAGCGTCAGTGACGGCGATGGCTGTCCGTGAACATGAACAAACTCTACCTTTAACCACCACCAGAAAGTACAGAACGACATTCGCCACGCACTGTGTTCAAGTCTATTTAGACGTCGAACGATGCACCACTTGCACACGCTAATCATGCCGTGCCAAGCCGACGGACCCATTCCGGACAAATACATCAACGCCAACGCATCGAACGACCCTGCTTGTTTCTTTCCTCCCCCTCCCCGACAACACATTAAACGACTCTGTTAAGAGTCATCGGGTTTCTACTCACCTGAAGTTCACAGCGCTGGCTTGACCTTTGCTGACCCTTCCATTCTTTACCACTTCCGTTCTTTACTGCATTATCCAACAAACATTCGCTTTTCCAATACCGTGACGCCCCCTTGACGACGACAAGCTGAGCAATTATCAATCATGAAGACCTCTATTCTTCTGGGCCTCTGCTTTGGGGCCGTTTTCGCCAGCGGCGCACCTTCATTTAGAGGCTGCGAACACCGTGTCAAGGAGAGCATCGCTTCCCCCGCCGAAGGATGGACACAACACTCGGCGGCACATCCCAACTCCATACTTAAATTGCAGATCTCGCTGGCCCAACCACGCTTCGGCGAACTTGAACAACACCTCATGCAGATCAGCAACCCTTCACACGACCGCTACGGGATGCACCTCTCAAAGGAGGAGGTCCAGGAACTGATGGCGCCGCACCCGGATTCGCATGATGTGCTCGCTGAATGGCTCGCGACCCATGGCCTCGGAGCGGACACGATGGATCACTCGAAAGGTGGAGAATGGGTGACGATTAGTGTGCCGGTTAAAGTGGCTGAGGAGATGTTCGATACGGTACGTTTGCTTCGGTGTAGCTCTAACCATCCGATTGATGGACCAACTTGCACCCAGAACTTCCATGTCTACCATCATGCCGAGACGGGCACCAGTGCCATCCGCACCCTGGAGTACAGTCTCCCCTCGATCCTGCACAAGCATGTCGACCTCGTCCACCCTCTGACGATGCACGCCGCGCCTATGGCCGCCAAGGTCCGGTACACTGGTTCCTCCTCTGAGCTGCAGCTCGACTTCTCCGACCACGGCTCTCTGGCCCGTCGCGCGAATAGCAGCGTCGACGCGTCGTGCGCTTCCCAGATGACACCGAGCTGCCTCCGTCAGCTGTACAATATCGGGAACTATACCCTCACCTCACCCAACAGTACAAGCATCGCAGTCACAGGGTACACGTCCGAGTGGGCGAACTACGATGACTTCACGCAGTTCCTCCAGGAGGAGGTGCCCGCTGCGGCCGGGGCGAACTTCAGTGTTGTTTCGGTTGCTAGTGAGTTTCTCCGCCCTCTCTTGTCCCGCTGAATGCTAAACGATATGAAGATGGAACGAACCAGCAGACCCATCCTGGCTCGGAATCCAACCTGGACGTACAATACGCGTTCGGCCTGACTTGGCCCATGCCTGGGAGCTTCTATACTGTAGGCGGGTCGCAGTTTGACGGGAACTGGACGTTGGCGACTGGAACTCTTAACGTCAGCATCCTTCTCCCCTCTCTACTGAAGTTATGGCTAAAATTGATGTCTCACGATAGCTCATCAACTACCTCCTCGCTCAAGACGAAGTCCCCCAGGTTCTGTCGACGAGTTACGGCCTGCCCGAGTCGGCCATCTCCTTTGACGAGGCGAACAAGGTCTGCCAGGGCTTTGCTGCTCTTGGTTCGTCCCCCGCCCCCCATATTAACGATTTGCGTTATACTGACGTTGCGCATTGCAGGCGCCCGTGGCGTGTCCATCCTATACTCCTCCGGTGACTACGGCGTCGGCTACGCTGCCCCCAACACGACGACTGCGCAACCGTTCGAGCCGCAGTTCCCTGCCAGCTGTCCTTTGTACGTCTCTCTTTCGTTTCTATGGCTCAATGTGAGATAAACTTGGTAAAAGCGTCACGTCAGTTGGCATGACCTCTGGGATCGATGAGGAGATTGCTGGCCAGTTGGACGGCTACTCGAGCAGTGGTGGATTCAGCAACTTTGTGAGTTCCCGTCCCTCGGCAGACCGGTGGTATGAGCATTACAGAAGCTGACGGCTCTTTTTAGTTTGCTCGTCCGTCATACCAGAACGACAAAGTCAACGCCTACCTCTCGAACCTCGGTCAGACCTACAGCGGCTTGTACAACGCGTACGCTGTTCCATACTCTTTCTCCAACCCGTAACTCATCGTACCCTCACTCTTCACTCAGATCCGGACGTGTACGCGCACATCTCCACTCTATCCTTACTTCGCACATCTGACCCTTCATCCTCCATCCAGGGCTTCCCCGACGTCTCCGCGCAAGGCGTCAACTACCTCATCATCGACAACCAGCGCGCGCTCAACGACACAGGCACGTCCGCGTCCGCGCCCACGTTCGCGGCGGTCGTTGCGCTCCTCAACGATGTGCGCGCTGGGCAGGGTAAAGGACCGCTCGGGTTCCTGAACCCGTGGTTGTACAGCCAGGGGTACCAAGGCCTGAACGACGTCACGAAGGGGAACAATCCGGGGTGCGGGACGCAGGGGTTCAACGTGAGTGGTACTGAGCTCTGCTGTGTTTAGTGGGTACTGACACGAGATGGGATGGGATGTGTGTGTAGGCAACGACTGGATGGGACCCTGGTGAGTTGCAGCTCTTTTTTTTTTTTTTTTCAAGAGCGTCGTGTAGAACAGTATGCTGATCGATGTCTTTAGTCACTGGTCTCGGAACGCCTGACTTCTCGAAGCTCAAGGATCTCGCTCTTGCTGTCTGAGCTACTAACCTTACAGTTAACAGCGGGCTTAAACCTGCTTTCGCTACCGTTTTCACTTTAGTTCTAATGGTGTGATCTATTGATCATGTTGTGGACATTTACGTTCTTCGGACACTTATATCGGTTGTATAACATACACACACGGACACTAGGCATACTTGATTGATGCCGCTGTTATACCAACTTGCTTTTGCACCCCTTCATCTTCCTCCGCCTGCTCAGCCTATTCAGGAATGGATCGACACAAGCGGCGACTCTCTCAGACTCGACGCGACTTCAGTGTGCCCCTCCCCCGTATCCACCAAGCGCGCCCATGCCTACCTGGACATCTCCGTTGTTATACGCGGTCCCTCCGCAGCTAGCCCCGTTCGAGATGCCAGTGCTCAGACCGGCTCCAACAGCGCAGTTGGACGCGCAGCCGCCCGCCTACACATCCCGCAGCGTGACACCGTCAGCCCAATCTCAGCTAACACAACACGAGCTAAGTAAATGCACAAGGAACTCACCGCGATGGTAATCCCACCAGGGATATTCGTCGGCCCGGTCACGACACCTCCATTGGACGCGACGCATCCGCCCGGAGCATAGTAGCACATCGGGACGGGACACAGGAACGCCTGCTCGTGGTCCACGACTTTGGAAGAGAAGCCCCCGCCGTCGCGGTCCTTCGCATCGCGCTCCCGCCGCTGCGTCTCCCGCTTCTGCCGCGCCTCCCGCGCAAGCGAGCTTTCGTGTTGCAGGTGCAGCGCAAACACGGCGTTGTGCTCGCTCGGGTGCGTCGCCGCCAGCGACATCGCGTTGTCGGGCGGGAGGAGCGTGTCCCCGCCTGTGCTGTTACCGCTGCCGCTGCCACTGCTGAATCTGCGCGAACGGAGTGACACGCCGCGCTTTACGAGTTTGCGCAGCTTCTGCCCGATGCTGTCGCCCGGGAGCGGGCAGCCGCAGTGCATGTAGGGCACACGGTACCGCATTTGCCATGTTCGGCAGGTCGCGTCGAAGGACGTGGAGAGGTGGTCTTCTTCGACTCTGTCGTCACTGAACGGTGGCGTCAGACAGCACGGCTTGTGATTATCGCGGGAGACGGGCGCACTGGTCTACGTATCGCTTGATGTACGTGATGCAGTCGTTCTGGTACGCGTCAGCCATGAGCTGGTGCGTGTGCCATGCGAGGTCGATGTCGAGCGTCGGGACGAGGAAGGAATCGGGAGATTCAGCCATGAGTCCGATGAACCTTTACTGATTGTTAACACGTATTAGACAGTGGTCGCAGGTCTGACGTACGCATGATATCGAGCGATGCAGTGCTGTAGCACCACTTCATCCTCTGGGGTATCGAAGAATCCAGGATGCGTCCAGCCCAAGTCGAACATCTTCTTGATAAACGAACCCTGACGCAGGATCGCACCGACTAGATCGAGCGAGAATATGCGGTCGTCGATGTACGTGCTGTAAAGCCGATCCCTCCTGCGTTGGATGTAAGTTATCAGACGACACTGAAAATCTCGCAGCTGGACGTACACTTGAGTATGTACATACGGGCGCATGGATCCGTACAACTTCTTAGGGGACCATTCCAGGCTCAGTAGTTTCTGATGCACGATCTTGTCGGCTTCGCGAGGAGTGTTACCATTCTCATCCGGAGAAGCCTGGGGTCCAGAGAACACTCCTTCAGTAACGCGTTCCCGGATAATGCTCCCGCGCTTCTCATCGAATATCTCGGTGGGCGTATGAAGAGTCGACCTGTCTTGACCCACGGTTTAATCAATTACGTGCATATGAGCCGATGGTGTACGAACGCGAGGTAACAGTCCGGAGGTGAGATCTCCACCATGTTCTTGACCAGCTTCATCAAGCCCAGGACCTCTTTTGTGGTTGCAAAGCCGCAGTCGCACTTGTGACGAAACTTTTTCTGCGCATATCCAGTTCCTGAAGATGTGATGAAAGCTTCGTTGCGGCCATGTCGGTGTATAGGTCAGAGTAGATGGGCTCGATTGCTTACGAATGGCGAGTTTTGCTGAGCATAAAGGGCACTGAATGTCTTTGTGTGTTAACACGGAGACTGCATCAGCTGGCGCGTATGGGGTGTTTGTCCGCTTCACCCATGACAAAAGTCGCTCCGGAGATGGGTTATCAGTAATGAGGATATCTGGGTTAGCCTGAGGACCACAAAAATGTTCAGTTAACCGTAAAGGACATGCTGAAGGTGTAAGAGAAACTCGAAAGACGTACAAGGTAAGTCTTCATATCTTCAGTATACTTATTCAACACTCCCAGTTGGCTCACACGCGTGGTGTCTTCTGCGTACTTTCTGTGAACAAACGTGAGATCGTCTGTGAAAAGAATCCAAGTTCATTTTACCCAGGGTTAAGCAAATAAGTGTGCCAAACCATCAAGACATCAAGCGGTGGGAGGTTCTCCGAAGGGACGTCATCATGTCTGATACTCAGACACCAACGCTCGAAACTTGATTCAACGATCCTCTTAGATTTCGGCTGAAACGAGAAGCGAGGGGGCGTACCGTTCGACTGCGATGTTCACAAACCAGCCCCACCGTGCATCAGGTTCCATATTCTGCACAGCCTGTGGAAATCTTTCGTCTCCACCCTGCTCCACAGCCATCCGAAGTATCCGGAATGCATGCAGAAGCACAAGATGACCCTTGAGCTGAGCGATTCTGACGAACGGAGCTGTTCTTCGGCCATTTATCAGAAAGGTTGTCGGAGGCGTGTGCTCTGTTATCACGTCCAAGCTCTCGGCAAACGAAGTAGATGGTGTGTCGAGGGATTCGCCCGAGCTGACTCCCTTGAGGCCCTGTCTAGGTTTCTCGTCGATGATGGCTTGTGTGCTCGAGCTGGCGATGCCAGAGCTGTCATTAGTATATTCATCTGCACGGTACGGAGGCGGTGAGCTTGGGTCCGGGTGTGTGTTCATGCGCTGAGAACGTGAAGGAAGCGTGTTGAGAGAGGGCGCCACGAGTTCACAGCAAGTTTCTGCAGACCGTAAGGCTTTCCACCCGGTGAGTAATATGATCCCGGGAGGAGTGGGGATAGAAGGTGCACTGCTATACTGGACGATGAACTTGTAATGTCGTGTGGAGAAGTGAGGCTATGAGAGCAAGTGATAGACGCCCCCGCAAAAAGTCTAATGCAGTCGCAAACCCTTGTATGGAACTTGTTCGCGGAGAACTCCGAAGCCTCCAGAGTTGCTCCAGAACGCGAGAAGCGAAGGTCCGGATCCCGCGGTTTGATCAGATGATGGTCGCAACGATTTCGCACTGTCTTAAGTTTGCGCTCAACGATAGTGAACCTGACTACTCATAAAAGTGGCCCAAGGCGAACTTGGATTGACCAGCACAAGGACATGAACGCGGTGTCTCTTCCACTCCTCCAACAATTTAAGATGCGCGACTGGGCATATGACAAAATACATCGAAGAAACATGAATGTCTATCGCCACGGAAGGCTGGGCAGACTACTATAGATGAGGAATGTACCCTGTCCAAGGTAACACCTTGTAAGCGTCTAAAGGAAGTTGACGCAGGGAGGCGAACATCAAGGAGATGAGAATAACCCGGCACACTACGTAGGCGAACCAAGTAAAGCACATAATAACCCACAAGGCAGTCGAATCATCCCGCAATTGGCATGAGCGAAACTGGTTGATGACCCATGCCGTCCAGACTGGCCAGTATGGCATACTAGGCATCGTGGCGGAAATTGCGACCCATGAGACCTGCTCCGAGTGTGTGGGGAACTGATACCTTCCTGCGATGGCGTTGACTATGCCAAAGATAGTCCATGCCGCCGTCCCGATACCGACAGTCTTCCTCGACAGGGCAGTTTGGCCTCCAAAGAGGTCAATGTCGTCACCTCCAAACGTATCGACCCTAAATCGGTCGTTCTCCTCCCACAGGCCTATCATTTGTAACGTAAAGTGTATAGGTGCGAGGAGACGGCGGACCAAGGGCGAGAAAGCGTCATCGGATAGCTGATGGGTGCCACCTGCAGGATGAAGACTAATGGCTCCCAAGATCAGTACGATCGGAGCCAAGGACGGTAGAGAACATACTCGTCGATGTGCAAGTCAGTAGGAGGGTCTCCTTGACCGATCCAGCGGACGCGTCGAGGATAGAACACGTCCAGGGGTTTCTTCCACCAGAGTACATATGTGAAGAAGCTCAGGAGCGCGAAAGCGAGAGTACCCCACTCCAACGGAGCAACGTAAACGCCGTTCGCGACTCGAGCCAAGAGCTGAATAGCGAACCAAGTCACCTGGAGAATGACAACTCCCTTGGAGATAAAGTCGCCCTTGCTACAATCGCTGATCTCGGCTTTTGTGATGTCGGCCGTGATGGAGCCGGCTCGGAGAGCCTTGAGCAAGTTAGGAGGAGAGATCCTGCACCATGGTTTACCTTCGTAGTACAGCATGAAGCCGCCCATGTAAGCGAAGAAGCTGTGCTCGTGCGACCAAGCATCATCACTCAAGAGTCTTGGCCGAAACCAGCCCCAACGCTTCTCTGGATCGCAGCATGAGTCAACTTGCCGCATAATCGAGGCGTGACCTACTCACCGTAGTCGACGTTCTGGCTTTTTCGAGGGATACCTGCACTGGTCGGAAGAAGCGGGCTATGGGGATGCTCTACTGTTCCGGTGATGGTCTCGGACACGACTGAGCCATGTAGAGTGCGCTGATCTAGAGCATCGACTGTAGCGACCAACTAAAGGAGGGACCAGAAACACACACCATCGACCAATATCGATTCGCTCTTGATGTACTCGTTCATCTCCTTGGTGAACTCACGAGCACTGACGTACTGGCGCGCCGCCCAGACGACAATGAGTTCTGGGGCTAGCACAGCCATAATCACGATAGCCGTCCTTCGACATGCGACTTTGAATGTGGAGTCGTATGGACTGGGTATGTTGGGGTGGACAGCGGTGTATACGCACGCGAAGATCGTGAGGAAACACGCAGAAAGAATGGATGCCAGTGACCTTGTGCCGTCGCCATCAAGTAAATCTTCAATACCCCTTGTCGTCTTCTCAGCAGAGAGCTGAGTATCGAAAGCGTCAACCTGCAGTGCCAGCATCACAAGCCAGAAGACCGATAGGGCACGCAGAATCATGAGTTGATGTAGCGAGACACAGGAAATGTGTGAGGCATTGTCTCCGCCCTTATAGCGGGAGACTAGTGATCGTGGAGTAACGACGGCGATTTCGGGAAGGGTCCTGTTTCAACAATCCACGCCGAGAAAACATCCGGTTGGTGACGATATTACTGTAGGCTGGGTAGACGTGAAAATTAAATTAATAAATGCTGTACCGGTACCAAACGCATTGTTGTGTTTCTTGACCTCGATCACTGTGAAGCTATTTGACAAGTCGACCGACACGAGGAAATGGGCTTCAATGTGTTGATGGGACGAACAGAAGACCTCAAGGGAAGGCAAGAGAAAACATGGAGACTCTGCTTCGGGTTCTTAGCTCGGTGGGCGTCCAAATCTCGGAATAGTCCGGAACTAACCGGAACTACCCGCATGCTGACGCGCTTCAGCGTCCTCCTGTCTCGCAGAGTCATACAAGATGCTCAACCTTGCTCAACCTTGTGATAAGTAGCTACTCCTTGTCCACCTCTTTGAGTCTCACCTAAAGAACCTACAGCAGCAAAATATTATGTACATCTACACATGAGGAATGAGGTCTGACCATTCTACCGTCTCGTACGAGCCAGGAGTCAAGTCACGTAGTGAGGTAAACATGATAACAATAATTGCAAGCCGGGCAACCACATACGCAAGACCTATGATCCCGTATGTGCCCACTGTCACATACTTCAAAGCCGTCTTGAACGTGTCTGTCGACTCCACGCCCCTTGCTACTGCAATGGAGTATATGACCGACAGCAGGAGCACGTTGAGAAGAGTGCAAGGAGGCGTGGAGATCACGACGATCACGCTGATGTGCCATATCAGTCTCTCCGCATAGGAAGGGAACTGCAGCCACCATGCGGTAAGGTGCACGAGGCCGAAGGCAACGGCGGCGAGGAAGCCGATTGCGAGGACCGTGTTGAATTCGGCGTGGTTACTTTCGGTCTCGTGAGTCCCCACGTCATCCCCGCCAAAGGTCTCGACTCTGAAGCGCTCGTTTCCCATAGACTTCCCGCCAAGCGCGAGCACGGAAACCGCAGGAACCACTGTCCATTCCATGAAGGCTGGAAGACCGAGGGCTTGCCTGAGGTGTCGACCGAATTCGTTCTCTTTGTGGAGACTGCGCAGGTCTCCGATTCAGCTTGCACCTGCATAAGGATGCGAGGGAACACGTACTCGTCAATATAGAGATCCTTTGGCGGCTCGTTCTTTCCCCTCCACTCAACCCGTCGAGGGTGACGAACGTTTAAAGGCTTATACCACCAAAAGAGGTATGTAATAACGCATAGCATGGCGAAAGCCATAGTTCCGATCTCGAGCGGACTGATAGGAATGTCGTAGTACCTCCTCGCACTGAGGTTTATGATGAACCAAGCGACTTGAAGCATGACGAGTCCTTTGGATATGACGTTGCCTTTACTGGAGTCATTGATTTCGCTCCTGGTGAGCGCAATAGGATCGATGGTTTTATCACTGATGAGCGCTCGAAGGTTTGGAGGCGTTATTGTGCAGCAAGGCTTCCCGCCGTGATACAGCATGAATCCGCCCATGTACGCGAAGAAACTGTGAGAGATGGACCAAGTAGTATCTGATTGTTTCTTCAGTAGCGCCGCATAATAGGAAACTAGAACGGCGTACCTTCTTCCGAACCTTCAGGTAAGCCCATGGCTGTTCGCCACTCTCCCTTTAGCGTCTCTGCCAAATCGGCGTCAGAAATACCAAATCTTATGTCAAAGAAAGGCTGATATTCACCTTTGCCAATATGTATCCGATGCGCTATCCACGTCTTGAAGGATGCCCATGCATACTTTCCACGTGCTCGTCCACCGCGTCTAGCCAGAGTGCCAGACTGACGGATAGGACTCACAACGACCCCTTCGTCTTCCCAGTATATGTTATGATGTTAATATTTATCCCAGCAAAACAAGCAGATGCGTCACCTTGAGCGTGATGCTCTCTCAGCATGTCTTTCATCTTGTAGGTAAACGAGCGAGCGCTAATATACTGACGAGCAGCCCAGACGACGACAAGCTCCGGCATCAGCACCGCCAAAATCATGGTACCGATCGTTCTGAGGAGAACGCGGAGCGGGCCGTCGTAAGGGCTCGGGACGTTCGGGTGGATAGACGTCCACACACATGCAAAGATGGTGAGTAGACACGCCGAGATGATGGTCCATAGGGTACGGTGGCTAGCAGAGATTGCAACCACTGTGCTCACAGGAGATATCTTCATATTCATGACATCCATTAGTGACGCGACAGCTTTCGATACAAGGAGAAGGAAAGAAAGAGCAAGTGTCGCTGGAGGAACTCGCAGGAAGTCCTGATCTACTCTTTCTTAAAGAATGTCTGCGCGTTCTCTACAGGATAACATGCACGAAGGGCATGTTCATGCGGATTCTCCTCCGGTACTTGCTGTTGTTACTAAGAAAAGCCAACACAGAAATTTCGAACGTCAGGAGACTGTACCTTTACCCTAAGGGCGCTAATCGCAACGTTAAATTAAGCCACGCATGAAGCTGCGTGTCTAGGTGAGAACTTCTACGGTGCCAGTGCGTGCTTTACATAAGCGCTACACCCTTCTTGTCCATCTTCCAGCCCGGATGACGATGTTGTATATTAGGTGCAGCCAACTATTTCCATCAGTGCTATAAGATGGGCACTTCATTTCAGGAAGTAACAAAATGTCACGAGGGTGCTGCACAAGCGACCAGGAGGTCAAGAATACACGGTTCCTGATTCCTTCATCTACAGAATCCCGGAATCAACTCGGAGCCGAACAAGTGCGTTAACTTCGCTGATACAGCTTCATGTAAAAGCTCTAGGTTTGATGCACGTTGCGAAGCGACCTTGTGCACACTGCATGTCTCGTTGCTCGCGGGCTGGATGTCCGTATGACGGAATTAGCACCAATAATAAGCGTATGATCATGAAAGATTCTCATAAGGCAGCGATGTATAGGCAGACATGACAACTACTATTAACACTCAACTTGCTACATATGTAAAACAAGCTCGACAAAGAATCGCGAAAATCAGTACAACCTTGAGACTATTAAATTGGGTTTCCAGACCTTCCAGCCCGCGGAAGTTGAGGAAATCAACATCGTCTCCGCTGAACGGATGATATGTAATGCTTTCCTTTGAACATTGAATCATTATGACAGCATTTGGACAGCACGACGCACAGGTTTCAGCTCCTGTTCATATACTTGATCCGATCCAAGAGTTGAGAAGTTAGTGTTGTGGGTGAATCAGCTGAGCCAGCTGAGCCAGCCGGTCGATACGTACTACTATGTAGTTCGTCGATAAGAAGGCCTTTTGGAAGTGGTCGGGGAGTGGCACAAGTCCCTTCCATTGTGACTTTAAACCAGGCAACCTGAGTGATAAGAAATCCCTTCGGGGTAAAGCCACATTTTCTACAGTCGTCGACTTCAAACTCGTTCTTCGTGAGCCTGGTTGGGTCATTATGATCGCTCTTGAGCTCGAGGCATTGCAATAAGCTACGCGGAGTGATCCGGTGCACCTTCTTACGATACTATCCAAGCTTTTCCCGTAAAGTTAACGGTTATCCTACCTGGATTGGTTTCCCCTGTGAACATGAAACGATAGTTGAACGGCATCCTACGGCACCATATAGTTTGAGCGCTCGGACCAGGGCATCGGCTATGATTGGTCGGAGCAAGGGAAGTCCCGCCGAGGCGATGACGTGCACGCGTGGATCTCCAGCGGTATTTTTAGTGCATCTCAAGTTTAGAACCTTCCCCTCACGTTCATGGAACAGCGACATAACCGAAACCTCTGCACGAAATGGAACAACCACCTCGAGAGTCCATTCGGGCACTGCAAGACTCCGAGGATTGCTATGGGGCTTCGTGATGGTGATCGCATCTTGGCATTTTGGCGGCGGCTTGGACGGTTCATGGACGTCTCACCCGCATCGCCATCTGACACAGGGCCGACGAGGATGCATGACATGATGCACTGATCTAATCCGGTGCCCGTTCCCCGACTGGGCTGACTGGACACTCATATAACACTTTTCCGCACGTACGTCAACTCTTTCCTCCCTCTCGGCCCTCGGGCTTCATACATCCCCCCGCCTCATTTGCTTTCAACCACAGGAGCGACCCCGCATCGATCGTCAATGAAGCTCAACGCACAAACCCAGGCTGCGGCCCTTGGCATTGCCCTCCTCCCACTTGCTGCCACTGCCCAGAGCGCCGCTGCACAGGCCTACACGCCGCAGACCACCTCGTGCCCCTCTGGCTTCGCACTCTACCGCGACGCGGGCAACGCCGGGAACCAGACCATTTCGTCCTCCGAGTCCGCGTATGTCCAGTCACGCAAATCCAACGTCCTCCCAGGCGCATGGAAGACCTACCTCGCCAACGTGCAGGGCACGTCCGCTGGATCCTCGCTCCCCTCGTACGTCTCCGAGATCCTCAATGGCACTGGCTCGGCGCAGGATCTTCCCACGCTCGGCATAGCCAGCAGCGGAGGCGGGTATCGTGCCGCCTTCTTTGGCGCCGGCACACTCAACGCGCTCGACGCACGCAATTCGTCCTCCGCAAGCGCTGGCCTCGGTGGGCTTCTCCAGTCGGCTACGTACATCGCTGGCCTATCGGGAGGATCATGGTTGCTCTCCTCGCTCGTGCAGGCCAACTTCCCGATGATCCAAGAGCTCGTCTTCGGACCGACGCAGAACACAAGCAACACGCAGAACTCGTGGGGCGGATGGATGGCCGACATGGGGCTGAGCGAGCCGAGTGATAGCTTGTTGACGAATGGCGAGTACATTGATGGATTGCTGAACGAGTTCAAGGGCAAGCAGAGCGCGGGGTGGCCCGTGACATTTGTCGATTTGTGGGCACGGACACTGGCCAGGCACTTTAGCAATGGGACGACGATGAACAGCTTTTATGACGAAAATTTGCCGCATGGGGCGGGCATTCTATGGTCAGATGTGGTTAATACGTGAGTCATCCGCTCGTTTTCTGTGTCTGTCGCTCCAGATGTTTCAATGCGACTGACGCGTCTTCTGCGCATACGCATAGCCCGGCGTTCGCGAGCTACAACATACCCTTCCCTATCGTCGTCGTAGACATGCATGCTCCGAACGAGAACGACAGCAACGTTATCACACTGGACACCGAGCCCATCACCAACACCGTCTTTGAGTTCAATCCCTGTACGTTCGCTCCCTTCTTACTTTCCTTCACCTATTCTCCCTATTACTTGAAACTAACATGGCACAGACGAGATGGGCTCCTTCGACCCCAACCTCGCCGCGTTCACCCAAACGAAATACCTCGGCACGACCAACACCTCAGTCTGCGTTACAGGCTACGACCAACAGGCATTCGTGACCGGCTCCTCTTCCGCCCTCTTCAACTCGTTCAACTCGCAAGCACTCAGCTCTACCCTGGGCCCACTCCTCCAAGCCATCGAGGGCGTGATCGGCAACCCCGATGACTTGCTCTACGCTGCATATCCGAACCCGTTCTATGGCGTGACCACGGGCGGCTTTTTGGGCTCGAACCAGACGGTGTTGACGCTCGTGGATGGCGGTGAGGATGGCGAGAATTTGCCGATTCAGCCGTTGTTTGTGAAGGCGAGAGGGGTGGATGTGATTATCTCGATTGATGCGGTGCGTCCCCCTCGCTTTGTCTTTTCAAGTCTAGGGGACAGGGCTGACGTTTGCATTGTGTGCGACAGACGGCAGACATCAACAACTACGCCGCCGGAAGCGCGCTCATCGTGAGTCTCTCCTTTCTCTCTCGCAGTGCCATTTTCTGATGGCATATGACGCGCAGGCCACACAAAACCGCACCTCGCTCTTCCCCTCCGCCTACTCCTTCCCGCCCGTCCCGACCTCGATTCAGACCTTCGCCTCGCAGAACCTCGCCGACCGCCCGACCTTCTTCGGGTGCAACACCACATCCTCAAACGACACCACACCGCTGATCATCTACATCGCCAACGGCGGCCCGCCTGCAGGCGCCTCCTCCACGTCAGACGGGATCACGAACACGGCGACGCTGCAGCTGTCGTACAACGACACGTTCGCGCAGTCGTTTATCGACCAGACGTTCGCGATCGCGACGCAGGGGCGGCCGTCGAGCGGCGGGGATACGAAGGACGGGGAGTGGCCCGCGTGCGTGGCGTGTGCGGTTGTGGACCGGGCGCGGGGCAGGGCGGGGCAGGAGCGGAGCGGGGTGTGTCAGAGTTGTTTTGAGCGGTATTGCTGGAGTGGGGTGGAGCTCGATGCGACGGGCCCCGGGACGGGTGGGCAGAGTTCGGGTGCTGTGGGCGCGGTGAGGCCGGGCCTGTTGGGTGCGGTTGTGGGTGGGGTGGTTGTTGGGCTGGGTGCGATGTTGATGTTGTAGAGGATGGTTTATGTGATGATGTCTAAATTATTGTAAACATGATATTGACGACATGACGATAATTCGTTTGCTACAACTAACTCTGGTTTTTCAGCATTCAACCCTTCGAGTACTCCTAACGAAGTCCAACGCTGAGGAACATGGGATATATAGGGGCTTATATTAACACGTGATCGTGAGATCAGCTACGCGTCTTCAGACGGGAATTTGAGTTCACCCTCCCGTCTCCCTTCTCCATCGACGCCTCGTCAAGATGCCCGTTGTGCACTCTTCTCCTGACTACATTACTCTGAGATCTTTCCAGTTTCTGCATTCGCTGGTTCTCCTCGGTAGACATGCCATTGCCAAGCCCTTACACAAACACTTCCGTGAGCAGAAATGGAGGCTGCTCACCTTCGAAAGCAGGCCCCGTATCGACCCTACTCAGTCAGCTAAGCTTTCAGCACGGGGCCCGGGAGGAGGAGCAAGTGCTTGTTGATCCACTTCAAACCCCAGCGTTAGACTGAGGTCGCCGGCACGGTGCCATATAGGACCCCCGAATATCCCGGTATAGGCCTGGTCCAAAGTCCGGATAGCACCTTCCTATTTGGGACACGAGGCCTGGTCCAAAGTCCGGATAGACCTTCCTAATGGGGAAAAATGCCTGGTCCAAAGTCCGGACTCGCCAGCGAGGTCTGAGCAAACAGTAGATAGGGGCTAGTCCTGGGTCCGGATTCGGATCGGACATAGGATATCATGCCTGGTCCCATGTCCGGACTGTGACCAGCCTCGATGCCCTGGTGCGTAGTCCGCACTCATAAAGGCCTGTAACCCTGTCCGGACTTCAGCCACTGTTCTTGTAGAGGAAGTATGTTCAAGTCATATCTTTATAATTAGTGGCATATGGAGCTTTTCCTAGTTACTGAATAACCATACTTGCGGTGGACTTCGAAGTGAGGCGCTCTTCTTCACGTATAACCAAGTATGCATTATTGGCGGGGGGAAGATTCGAACCGGCGGTGACGCAAAACAAGATAGCCGCTGTAACCGCTAAGCTACGGTTGTACATTTCGCGCGTTCCCAGCTTAGCTATATTATTAGATACACCACAACGGGGACGAAAGCAGTGCCACCCCCACCACATTACAGACGCTTGCTCTGGCTTAAGCTGATATTTGTTGACAAGTAGTAGAGCGACTCCTTCTCGCTGCCTCACCTCTGGCAACACTCAATTTCTTTTTAGTCCCATCATAATAACACAAGGTTTCATAGGGGACTCTATCATTGCTAGTGCTTGCAGACTGCCCCGACTGTTAAGACTTATTACAGACAATTGGTGTATGGGCCAACATTAACGACGCTGACGATGCCTGTTTCCATGTCCGGATTGTAATAACCCCTATCCCAAGAGGCCTGTCGCTCTGTCCGGATTTTTTTACCACCTACTCCCAGAGGCCTGTCGCTCTGTCCGGATTGGCGACCCTGAATAGGGGTAAATGTCCGGATCGGCCAGCGAGATTTGGGACCAGGCCTATACCGGGATATTCGGGGGTCCTTGCCATATGCATCACCTCTTCTAAGGGCCGTGGAGCATGACACAGCTAAAAATAACACGATCGGTCGCACCGGAGTCGTCAGCCTTGTGTCTCGCATCCCACGAGGGCGTGCCTTCTTTTCGTCATCAACTTTGACGTTGTGATGCATTTTCTCCTTGACAGGCCATCTCGAGGTGTAGCTCGAGGAACCCATGATTCGAGAGTGGACCGTTGGCCAACCTCTCGGGGACAGACGCCTTCGCGAGCGTATGTAGCACAGAAGCTCAGGTCAGGTTTGCCCCTGATTCTCCCCCCGCGTGTTTTCCCGACGTCGGACTGAAATCGCTTCGAATGGTTGTAGCAACATATTCGCTTTCGAGCGACTCACAGGTATGTCATTCCGCCTCACGGACGTTGTTTCTGGTGATTTAGTGGTAACCCCTGGCCAGCGAGCAACATCGCCTCAGCGCAAAGTCGCATAGAGTCCTTCAGGTCCGTGTTCCCTCGCGTTCATGTTGGCGAGCACCCATTCGCCGACTCTCATTAACGCCGACGATTTGTGATAAAGACAACGCGTCCTGGATACGGGTTTCTGTGAGGTATAAAGGCGAGGCAGTTGCGTACCATCGTACGACAACATCTTGGTCTCTCCACGATGATGAAGTTTGCACCTCTTCTTACTGCGCTCCTATACGCAGGCGCAGCACGCGCTTGGTTCCGTGTTGCGTGTACGACGCCTCTTGTCGAAGAGCGCATTGACCCAATCGTTTCTCCTGGTGTGATTGGCACTAACCACGTTCACGTCGGTATGTCGCTTCCTGCTGTACTCCCGTTGACAGTACTGATCAATTATCGATGCCAGTCCATGGCTCTGACGGCTTTAGCGCGACGAGTAACACCTCCGATCTCCGTGCGGGCTCTTGTACCTCTTGCGAGGTTTCCCCACAGGTATGTTCGTAGTTTCTCACACGGGAACTGTCGACTAACATATGTTTCTTATGGCGATAGGATATGTCCGCCTACTGGTTTCCCAAGCTCTACTTCCAAGACCCCACAAATGGGACCTTTGAGGAAGTTGACAACGGCGGTCTACTCGTATACTACCTCAACCGCGGCAACGAGGACGTCAGCAACGGCGGTCCCGGCCTCAAGGCATTCCCGCCCGGCTTCCGCATGATCAGCGGCGATGTCGTCTCGCGCAGCGACCAGGGTGGCCAGGGCTACGATACTCAACAGGAGCTCGCGCAGAGCGCGATCCAATGGGAGTGCTTGAGGTATAACTCGAACACGACGGGGTACAACGGGTTTGGCTTCCCTAACACCACCTGCGAGGCTGGGTTAAACGCCCGTATCCAGTTCCAGTCCTGCTGGGACGGCGTCGTAAGCACCTCTCTTGTCCTGGCTGATAATATCGTGTCTGATGGCTCTTCCTCGATGACAACAGAACCTTGACTCCCCTGACCACCAGTCGCACGTCGCCTACTTGTCTGGCCTTGACAATGGTGCCTGCCCCGATACGCACCCCGTCGGCCTGATGCACCTTTTGTACGAAGTGAGAGAATCATTTTCCCACATGTTTTGCCTTGCTCAATGCGATGCCATTGATAACACCAGATTACCTGGGACGTCGACGCCTTCGCCTCCCGCTGGACGCCTCCCAACTGGCCGTTCGTCTACGCCACCGGCGATCCGACCGGGTACTCGCAGCACGGCGACTTCCTGAGTGGATGGGACGAGACCGCGCTGCAGAACGCGATTGACAACTGCAACAACCCGAACGATGCGACGGGCCAGGGTGACACGGCCGCCTGCCAGTACTTGACGGTTTTACCTGCGTCCACGGCGGACCAGTGCAGCCTGGCGCCTATTGTCGACGAGCCCATCGGGCCTACACTTTCAAAGCTTCCTGGGTAAGTTTACCTTAGTTTTCTCTGTTGAGACTCCCGTAGCTGATTGTGTGACGAAGATGCAACCCCATCCAAAGTGGCCCCCAGAATGCGACGCTTTACAGTACTACGGATTGCCCAATCTAAGGAACATTCTGGAGTCGGTTTCGCCCACTCGTATGAAGAAGATCGTTTAACGTCATTCATTGTACTATCTGCTGGGTTCTGTGCGCTATATGGGTTTTTCTTTCTTTCTGGAATTACAATGGTTTTCGTCTTTGGCGCTTGTGTAGCATTCATGACCGCTCCCTCCTTCAGTCCATGGACTGTTTAAAAATGTCCGAGTTAAGTCATGAATTGTCACAATGAGTCATTGTGTATGCATCGGAGTCTTTGGCCCCATCATAATATTATCCTTGAACTTTGTTTGGCGTTTGATATCGATGACCACCGTCTCTCGCTGACAAGCCCCTATCCACGTAGACGCGCGACGCGACTAGACGCGTCGCGCCAAGATCATGTGCCTTTTCTTGACGTGTGTCGGTCCTGTCAAACCTTGTCTCCTGCTTTGCACTCTGACTCGCCTGCGGGACCGGTCCGTATATAAGCATACAAGAGGCAAGCATTTCTCCATCACCTATGATCATGCAGCCTATAGTGTTATACGATCTCGCAGGGAAGGAGCCAGGCCAGAACCACTCCCTCGCCACTGCAAAAGCCAGGTTCGTTCACATTACGCGTCAGGAGGGGGACAAGAGCTGACGGACCGGTTGTAGATACGCTCTTGGCTTCAAAGGGCTTGAATACACGACTGTCCGTGTCGATATAGACGAGATCGACTCCATCCTCGTCAAGCTCGGTGCTCCGGATGTCGGTAAACGCGCCGACGGCCGCGACAGACACGTCCTGCCCACCATCGTCGACCCAAACACCAACCCGCGCACGATTGTCTCGGACTCACTCCTCATCGCAGAGTACCTCGATCGCGCCTACCCGTCTCCCTCGAAGCTCGTGCCTGCGGAGTGCAAGGTCCTGTACCAGACGTTCGTGTACACGCTCGATCAGCTCGCGCAGCCGTGGGACCCCTACCTCTGGGTACGCTGCATCGAGATCATGTCCCCGCGCAGCGCGGAGACGTTTCGCGAGTTCTGCACGTCTTCATCGGGCCTCGCGTGGGAGGAGATATCGCCCGAGGGCTCGGAGCGGCGCGAGACGCACAAGAAGGCGCTCAAGAAGATGTGGGACGAGGTCGACGCGTGGTATGCGATGAGTCCCGGCATGTGGGCAATGGGCGGGCAGTTTACATTCGCGGATCTTGAGGTCGTGGGATGGCTGAAATCGCTTCAGCATTCGATGAAACCGCAGGAATGGGACGAGATTTGCCAGTGGAACGGAGGAAGGTGGAAGAGGATGGTGGACGGATTGGAAAAGTACTACAAAGCCGATTGAGAACTCTTGAGCAACTTTCGAATTACGTCGGAATACGCTGATGTATCCCATTAACAGATGAGTGCATAATTTTACTATTCTTACTAAGTAGTAATAATTCAAGGATACGAAAGCATGGGTACATCGGCGCCCGTGTTGACACTGGAATTATTTTGAGTGGCCGAGAGCCCCCAGTCGGTATGTTGTGGGGTTGTTTTCGCGGATTCGCACCGCTCCGGACCAGAGTACTCCGCGTCGTAAATAGGCTCGAAGAGATCCATGAGCGCATCGAAGGTCATGTGATGATACAGAGACACGTCCAGGGCTGTGCGAGAAAACGGTGTGGCGATCATGTAACTATCAACATCGGTCCTTGTTGATGTCAGAGAAGGTAAAGGTAGTCGTGGCTCGAACGTCGGTGTATGAAGTGGAGTCGATGTTGTGGTGTTGCTTTGTGTACTAGTAGACGGAGAGGGAGATTGCTGGACTGACCATGGAAAACACGCGCCATGGATTGGGAGACTACTATACTGGGGATTTGTGACCGCTTGCATGGTACCAGGAAAGGGAAGAGGAAGCGAATGCCCAGACACGAGAGGATAAAGGGGCGGAGAAGCCCGCTCACGCTGAGGCTGCGTATTCAGTGCAGCCGACGAATGAGATGAGCTCGACGCATTAAGCGTCGAATGCCCAGAGTTCACCTGTGGTAATCCCTTTGGCTTCGCCACACACTTCCTCTTCTTGTCCTTTGACCGACCACCCGCCCCCGTCGCAATGTACCCGTGGTCTTTGACCATATGCTTATGCAAAGCAGGCCTGTCAGAATATGAGGCGCCGCATCCGGGAGTTTCGCACAGGAGTCTCAAACCCAAGCTTAGTCAAATGTGAGCAAACAGCTGAGAATCCGAGAGGTAGATCGCCATACGTACTGTTTTTGGTAATGGTCCTTGGCGTTCGCACTCGACTTGAACACTCTGTAGCATGGCGCAGGTGTCCAGTACGCGGCCGGGCAGAGCCAGTGGCTAAATAACATAGCAGGAAAGAATAGTGATGACATCAATAAGTGAGGGGGAGGCGTTAAGAACGAAAACTTACTGTTTATCGAGTTTGATGGGCGAGAGTCCGTACGGTAGCCCCTCCAAATACACGACCCCCTGCCGGCGCGAAGGATAAGGCTCGAAGACCTGGCTTTGGATAGCGGCAGCTATCGTGGTCGGGACCGTGGTCGGGACGGTTGTCGCGGCTTTGGGCATGGAGGGCGGGTCGTAGACGAGTCGTTTTACTAGAATGGAATGACGACAAAGAAATGGGTGGCGCTCAAAGCAGCGAAAGTCCGGTGACGGGTTTAATCAAAGAGAAACAAAGCAAAAAACGCTCGGAGAACGTGCCAAGTTTTATACTTATGTCCACTCAGGATCGAACTAGGGACGCCGCAGCGAAAAGGGTCGCCACGTCCATGCAAGTGTCACTTTGGCCCCGTACGTTGGCGCTTGGACTGTTCGGATCTCGGGGCCGGAGTTCTCCCGAAAGGGCTGGACAGAAACGGCAAAACTCCTTGTGCAGGTGCTGCTTATTGTTGCAACCGTAGGGAATGTAAACGCTTAGACGCCTCCGCTGTTAATGTCGCTTTGACATGCGGTCCGCGCAAAAAACTGACAGATGCCCTAAAGCAACGACGTCTCTGTCAAAGCACGGCATACCCTGTGTACCCATGATATTGATATATACAGCAAGAGATGACACACATACAAATCGATGCAAGTCCTTCGATAACCCGGTACCCGACCGTCAGCAGTTTAGCCGCCCCGATACGCTCAGTCAGCCCTCCGCACGCGCAAAGGAACGGTCGTCCCACTCTCGCCCTCCAACTTCGGACGGGGCAGCAGCCCAGGCGTGGTCTCGAACTTGAGATTCGACTTCGGTCCATCACGCAGCTCGAACGTGAAATTGCGGATGAGCACCGAGAGGACGGTCTGGGCACCGTAACATCGTCAGCACCGCTATCGCATGTAGCTCATCGAAAAAAGGAGAGTATGTTGCAGCGGAAAAGAGGAAAAGGCGCACTTTGAACTCAGTCACAGCAAACGTCCTACCCAAGCACGTCTTCGGCCCATCGCTAAATGTCAGCATGTTCTTATATCCCTGCACTGCCCTTGCCGACTCTGGTATCCCGCCCTCTTTACCTTCTCCAGGAATAGAGGACGAAAGCCACCTTGACGGCCGGAACTCAGCCGCGTCGGGTCCCCAGAGGGACGTGAGCCTGTTGATCGCGCGGATGGGAATTAACATTCGTGTGCCCTTATGCACGCCGACAAAGCTGGTCAGCCCGCCCGAGGCTGTGCGTGTCGGGGTGGAGAGAGGGATTATGTCTGCCTCTGCAGCCTAGTCCATCGTGTCAGAGCATACTCGGCCGCATCACCACGCGGGCACGAGTGAGAGATGGCTTACCTGTCGTGAGAGCTCCGAAAGCGGCGGGTGCAGGCGCAGTATCTCGTTTACGACTGCGTCAAGGTACAGAAGTCCGCTCGTGAACTGGTCGTACGTTGGATCGGAGCCAAAGGCAGAGAGCTCGTCCCGCAGCTTGGTCTGGATATCGGGGCGTTGTGCGAGCTCGATAAGCGCCCACTATATCGGAGGTTTGTTAGAGTCCGCAGTGCTAAGGATGAGCGATTCGGCTCACAGTCATACTGACTATAATGGTGACAAATACGTGTTAGCAACGGAAATGGCTGAACAAATGTAGCCTAGACGTACTTGAGGTTGTCTCATAGCCGGCAATGATCAGGAGCTTCATCTGTGGGACATACGCCGACAGCTTCCCAACGAAGTTAGATCGTGCGTACCTGGGCCATGACCTCCTCCTGAGACATATACAAGCTTGAGTCCGAGTTCTCAGCCTTGACTGCCCAAATACCATAAGCTCATCCCCGTCACAGTCGAAGTCAATCATACGGAGAACTTACTCAAAAGCCCGATGACACTCTTATCCTCCTCTCCTTCCGCCTTCTGCTCCCTCGTCCTACTTAGCAACATCTCCGATATCTGGCCCATACTCTCATTCAACTTGGTCAAAATTGAGCTCCGCTTGCTGGGAATCTTGAACAGCCACGGAATATGCGGTGCGAGGTTGAATATTAGCATCCTCATGAGCGAAGGCTTCGCTGGTGCATGACCAAGCGAGTGGAAGACGTCCGCGACATCAGCTTGTTGACCTTGGAGGGTGCCAAAGTCGTGCGAGAAGCCTGCAATGCCTACGGTGTCGAGTCTGCCAGAGGGAGTGTTTGGTTAGACTGAGATGGGAAATGTCACGGTAAACATACGAGATATTATTCATCCTGTATGGTAATCGGGTTTAGGGAGAAGGTATCAAGGACAGAAAGGCTCCACGTACCATTGCTGCACCTCGATAATGGATCCATCGGGATTTGATTCGATGAGGTTGTCCCAAGCCGTTTTCGCCTGGAAGAGGAGGGTCAGGAAGAAGATGATGCAGAAAGACGCAAGCACCCAACCTTGTAAGCAGAATCGTAAAACACCTCTGTGAGCTTTCGGATTGCAGCAGTGCTGAATCCGGGTGTGAGGAGTTTTCGTTGTCTTCGCACATGTCAGCTTCGAATTCGAACCTGAGCGAGGAAAGCATCCCTCACCTCTTATGAACGTCGCCACTAGCAACCAACAAACTCCCCTTGCCAATCTATCCAACCAAATGACGTTACTTTCTTCCAACGTCGATCAATCCAGACAGCCAAAACGCACCAGGTTCTCCGTGAAGAACTTCCCGAGCGGCGTCGCAACGTACGTGACCGTCTCCTTGGAGAAGAAGTGCGCAAGCGCCTTCGGGTCCATCAGCACCACCGCATCTGCGCCTAGCGGCATCGACACGCGATACGCAGGACCATACTCGCGGGCCCATTGCTCAAACAGCACGGCTGCGTCAGGAGCGTCGTTGAGAGCCTTGCGCGACCCCAATAGGAAGCTGTCGCGTGGTGGTCCGGAGAGGTCGACTGCGCGGCGGAAGGAGCGTGTGACGAGGTGCCCAACGATGTAAGCCGCTACGCTGAGTGCGGCAATGTCCAACGGAGAGAGGTTCATGACCTGTGTCCTTTTGGTGAGGAAGGGTGGTATGTCGAGGTTCACGTTCATGGAGGGATAATGCTGAAGCGCTGAAGAGGAAGGCACGTCGCGATGGTGCGCCGTGGCGGTGGGGATCGTCTATATGCGTCCAGACACGGAAGCAGTCAAGCACCCTTGGCCTCAGCGACGTTCCCGGGATGGTGATCATGGGCACAGCTACCAGGATTGCGCCTGCTTGCTCCCTCCAAGCGCCGCCTCAGTGAAGCCATGAGATTGGAAGACGAGTACTGGAGAGGATTGGGCGCGATTGGGACAAGGCGTCGACTCGCACAGAGAACGGGATAGTTTATACAAATTCCCACGCTATTCAGGAAACGGCACTTGTTCCTTGAATTATCCTTGACTTATTTCCCTAATGACAATACCCTCGCTAGCGCTTCATGTAGATCCCGATTCTGGGCTCAAGGGTCTCAGTTGCATTTGTCGTCACTACGGATTATGAGAGAACCGCTCGCTGCATACTTCAATGCTACGGTGGCTCACCTCATACTCTAATTCTGCGGAGAGCATCATTTGCACATGGTCTCCAACCATCTCTCGGACAATTATAAGTTTGTTGCAATAGATAGTAAGAGTCTGATATTATCCCTGGTAAAGTTCAGCTTGACATACTAAATCCGTGACCCCATCACCTAAGGCTCCCAGATAAACGAGGGTACACGCGCCTCAAACCAGTTCCTCATCTCTGCTGGCAGTGCCGGACCATCGTCAACCCAAATAGACCATCGTCGCTGAGTGGATGATGACCCTGCGGGGTATCGTCGTTCAACCATGTACTTAAACGCCTCCGCCGAAAACGCCGCACCCGTGACTGTGAGCGCCCGAAGGCGACGAAGACACGGAATGTCTTCGTCGCCAATATCTCGCAGGACTGCGTCAGTGAAGCCCGGACACTCCTTGATATGCAATTCGCTCCCGTCCCAGCTCCGGAGTGCATTGAGCATTGAAGAGCCGGATACTATCCCATCGAAACAGGCGTAATGGCCTCGAATGTTGGTCTCCGGCGGAATCTCGCACCGCGTCAAGGTCACGTATTCCGGACGACTGGTGATGCAGCGGAAAAACTCGGCGATGAACGAAGAGCCGAGGTCGGTAAGCTCTGGTGACTTAAAAGACAGCGGAGTATCGACCCAGGAGCACCATCTGAACGACTGCGCGTCGAAACTGATGTCGGAGATCTCAGGGTTTATGGTCATGCTCTTGTTGAGAAGGCTTAGCGAGATAAAGAAGTCGACAGCGGATATGAAGTTTGAGGGCTCGGTGGGGCGGTATCTGGTGATGGAAACGTGAAACTCTACGACGTCGTCAGGATCGTCCTCGTAGTGTGGCATGCCGGTGGGAGGCCACTTGATATCGGCACGGCCAAGGCCCAAGAAGCTCTTTGCATCGACTTTAAGCACATTGAGCTCCGAAAGGTCGAGTGAAGTGACGAGAAGAGGTGCAGTAGTGTCCACGTTCCAGGACTCAAGTTGCAGATAGCAAAGACTGTGTAAAGGCGCGTCGTTCAGGTAATGACTTGCGACGACCACTGACGAGCGATAAGCGGTCTTGACGATGAGTCACCAATGTTTGTAAAATGAGGCTTAGCGCATTCCATGACTTCTCGGATGCGGGCATTTTCTTCAGCGCCACTGACTCTGCAAGCATTTCTCAATAATAGTGGCATTATTACTTTAAAATTATTTTAAATGTTAAGGTGAACGGGTTTCAATAATTAGGTCCTCATTATTTTATTTTCTATCAAAGACAGGAAAGGAAGCGCCTGTCACTGACCCTTGTCTTTGATAGAACTTTTAAATAACGAGGAGCTAATTATTGAAACCTGTTCACCTTAATATTTAAAATAATTTTCAAGTAATAATGCCACTATTATTAAGAATTGCTTGCAGTGTGAGGGTAGGAACGTGGTGGTTGTCGGTGAGGATGTAGATAGACTTCCAGCTGTTTTGGGTGACAGCAAAAAATTTACTGATGAGGGAGGGGATGAATGAATTCGTGTTATCGAGGTTAACCTTCAAAGTCCTCCAGAACTCTGGCTTCATCGCGAGAACGTCCATCCATCTGCGACAAACGTAGGCCAGATACTCAACACGTCCAAGCACGTTTCCCTCAACCATGCAGAAAATGACAAGAAGAAGTAGGGCTCCAACCATTTAGTTTACGTGTACACCCCAACGTAAATTTACACAGAAACGGTTGTATTCGTATAAACCGTGTACAGTATTCGGATATAAACAGTTTACATAGTACTATCTAGTCTTCGAAACAGCTTCGAAGAATAGGTCAGCATCCTCAAGCCATTTCTTCATACACATGACCTTAGTAATAGTCGACGCTTTAAACGAGGAACGAGAGTCACGACAAACGTGGCGTGAACCCGAAAATAGACGTTCAACAGACACGGATGTGGCTGGTATGGCTAAAAAGTCACGAGCCATCAAGGCAATGACTGGGAAGTCAGTGTTATGCTCCTTAAGTCGAAGTGAATATGCCATAATGTTACTATGAAAGCAATGATACATACCTTCCACCAATCCAGGGATTGGTTTAGATCGTTGAAAAACCCTCCCTCACCATCTGTCCATCGTTGAAACTCAGTACGAACTGGAGCATCAATCAACCTGGGCGCAGATAGGGGAGTATAGCTTAGTTTTGCAAGGGAGTTTGTTGTGTTGAGCTTCGGGCGCTTGACCGGTGATGGTGGGGCAGACTTTGGAGCACGCTCCTTCGCGTAGATGTCGTAGACGACCTTGAAAAGGTCAGATGCACGCTCCTTTTCGTCCACACCGAGCACATCAAACCACTCGACCCGGAAATAGGGGTGTAGGACTGAAGAATCGAGTAGTGAGCACGAAATACAATCAGGTATAAAGAACTGGAGCTTACCAGTTGAGATGACGTTATGCTGGCAGCCCTTGGCCATGTCGAAGTATTGAATGAGCTTCGCTTTACCAGCAGCAGCGGCTTCACGGATCTTGAGCGGGTACTTGTTGGCAGTGTCCTCGATGTACTTGTCGAGGTGCACCCTCATTTGGTGGTATAGGGGTAGTACAAGTGGGAGGGTGGCGACACGTTCGACAGAAATGATGTGTGTATTCTCAGCGAACTCCTGCTCACGTGTAAAACGAGTCGACATCAAAAAATCGCCAGTAACCAACAGAGTGAATGACGTACCTGTAATAGTTCATGAATCATCTCGACTTCCTCCCAATCGTAAGGGGGAAGATAGAGATCTGTAAGCTTGTCGTTATCAAAAACCCAATGATTGATTGCCTAGTGATATACTTTAGCAAAAATACGAGGCAGAACACCCCAAACATGCTCACCTTTCTGAGAATAAGTGCTCGACCCATCATAGCATGTGTTGAGTTCCATCGTGTCCGGACATCGCGTATAGGCATGAGGCGCCATATAGGATGCCCATTGGGAAGGGTTTCGTCAGCAGAATAGGTGCGAGTCGCAAACTCGCGGAATCGTTGGCGACGTGAGGGCGAGCTGCAGATTTTGATGACGATGATACGAAGCTAACAATGGATTGATGAGTAATGGAATAAAACCCGATGCGAGAATTGAAATGCGCACCCGTTCGATAGCTGAAAGCTGT